TGACTTTACGACCAAGTTTAAGTAATTTTAAAGTTTTTGGAAAGGAAATTACTATTGTATAGAAAGTACAGTAAATGAAAAGATCTGATTGCATATATCCCTACATATGCGACGCAGTTATGGATCCTTGTTAATGTTGTTTCTGAATTTAGACAAATCAATCTTATATTATGTTATTTTGAAATTAATTTATATTTTTGGCTGTATTATATAAGGGGAGGTGTTATCTAGACACACATAGAAAGGTATTTAAATATTGAATTGATTACACAAATTTCGACGGAGAAGTTTGTAACAACTAATAAACATTAATGGCTTGTAGTTATAGAAGGAAAGATGAATATAAGTGTCTTCATATGCGATGTAGTTATGACTCTTCTCTCCTCGTATCAAAGTATACAAATGTTAGATCCAGAATATTCAATCGGGTTGTAATTAAAAGATTATAACCGACCCGACAATATAATTACATGATTAACTTTAATGACATTTCATTGTTTAGTTATAAAGAAGGGCATTGTTAGTAAAAATAGGTTAAACCCAAGGTGGTCAAAAAAAGGGTTGCAAAAATAATAAGATAGATTCGTCCTCTAAAATTTCATCAAAAATTCGGGTAAAAAAAATAAAAAGAATTACATCATGTATAATCACTTTAAAGAAAAAGAAATAAATTAAACAAACAACCCAAGTTCATCATAGTCTAATTAATTGTTTTTTTTTATAATAAAGAGTCGTATCGTGGCAATACTTTAATTTAACACGCAAACTTTAATATAGTTATGTGCACTATAACAAAACTAGAATCCAAATTAAAACACTAAACAATATTCACGGCCTCTTAACCAATCGTATAAAAAGTTGTGTTGTTTGGGGACAAAGTAAAGAAGAAGAAAAAGAGGGTACGTGGTGGCTGCGTGCGTGCGACGATCCAATACAATACCAAAACTAACAACAACAACAACACTACGGAAGAGAAAATCTCTAGAGATCGAAAAAAAAAAAAAAAAAAAAAAAAAAAAAAGTAAGCACTCACTTGTCTTAGTTTTTTTTTTACACGATTACTTTAATTATGATTTACTACTATCAACTTATTATAAGAGCTCATCTTATCTTGTGAAGAATTAAAAACAAATAAGGAAGTTATCGTCAGCAAATAGAAACTGTAAGGTCCACGTTCGACCATACTTTAAGTGTATTATTAAACCTACTCGCACGAAGCTCTCTAATGCTCTAACCTACCCAATTCCATTAATTTAAAGTCTAATTGTGCATTACCACCTTTTTAGGTTCACCGTTCATCTTTATAGAAAATAATTACATTTCGCTAATAACTAACTTTGTATTCATCTGGCTGCTTATTATTGAAAATTCTAAAACCTTTCTTTTAGAAAATATTTGTTAATTGTTAAAGAAGTCCTCACGTTTATTTTTATTTTGTGTGCTTTTAAATATGAACGAATTTAAGAGTACTGTTTTGTATCTATTGTTTAAATATGTTAATTTGTTGCTAATAGAAAATAAATGGTGTCATTATAATAGATTTATAAACGTTGTGTTTAAAAACTAAAATACAAAAAAAAAAAGTGATTAGTGGACAATATTTAAAACGACAAGTTGTTTTCGACCAAAATGAAAATAAGGTTTTGAGTGGCAGTATCTTTATAAAACTTTATCTTGTTCTCTTTTAGTCCTCCTACCGTCTTAACTTTTTGTTATGAGTTTTGTATTATTTTTCAGTTTAATGAATCATGAATGGCAGTAAATAAAACTTTTATTATATCTATGACGCGCATGCATAATCATATTCGTCATTGGCATATAATGAACATTCAACATTATCGAACATGGGGTCATCTTTACTTCGAGAAAACAAGAATGTCGAGATGATTCTAAATTGATATGTCAACCCCGACCTATATATATATATTTATAGAAACAGATTGAACATTTTTTTATCACAATGTGATCATGATTCTGTCAATTAGGTTTGATTGTAATAATGACTTGTGAAATTATATCGAATTATTTGAGCGTTACAAATATTGTATAATTGACATACAACCCAAATGTTCTTACATAAATCAGTATACAATCCTTGGACTTCAAATAAAACGTCGTAGGAACTAGGACGTGGTCAAAAAAAGTTAGATGAAACCTACGGAACTATGGACCAATCTGTCTACCACACTTGTTAGAAATTGGGACACGAACTTGTGACCAACCTTGGTAAAGTGGTCTTTCTTATTGTAGTTTTGTAAATGTTTGTCATTAGATAATTGGGATCTTACTCAGTCGTGCCCTTAATGTTCTTTTCAGGATGATTGTAGCATTCGACTTTTACAATCCCAAAAATTCAGCTCTTTACCATCACATAATCATATCCCTTGTTCTGTTGTAAAGATCGGCTTACGAATGATATTTTGCGAAAAATGGATTCATACATGATAGAAACAGACCACTTCTTCAGAATAATTTCAATATCAACCTTTAATTTTGTAAACAAAATTTCAATATCCACCAAAAACTACAAATCATCCACAAATAGAATCGCTGTCCCGATCGAATCAAACAGGCAGAGAAACAGAATCAGGAAGGCTAAGCAATCATAACAGGCCAAGTTGGTTTAATATCAGACCAAGAAAACGAAACAAACATTTATGATGAAAAACAAATATAGAAAAAGAAGAATAAAGGATGAATGTGCTTAAGACTACTAGACCAGCTTCAAAGACGATAAAATCTCAGCAAGTCTGAAGAGCAGAAGCATAATTTGATCTAGGAGCAGTTAAACACCTCTCATGTCATTGTTTTTTTTTTAACAAGTAGGCTGCCTGAATCACTGCTCCCATATAACTAATCATTCATTTACAAATCAAACCAAAACAAAAAAAAACAAAAGATGTAAGATCTATCTCAGCGACCAATATCAACAGAGTCGATTTCGGACAGAAACTAAGACAGATCCCCGATTGTGGTCTTTTTTAATTTGGGGCGCTGCATTCATCTCTATGGCATCGTTATTTTGCTAAAGAGTCAAACTCCAGTCCCGATTCCCACCCAAACTTAAAACAACAAAAAACACACACACACGTATACTCTGATTGCAAACGAAAAAGAAGCATAGATCTATCGGACTAGAGAGACTGATAAGAGGCGTATAATGTATGTCTCGTATAACTTAATTAGGGTTCATAGTTAGACGCAGCTATTTAAAGAGGAAACGCATTGAACTCGTTAGGTCAAAACCCCTATGTGGGCTTATATTGGGCTTTCCTGTAATCCATATGATTTTCTAAAACATTTGCTCTGATATTGGGTTTTATTCTAATATATATGGTCTTATTTGGGCCCAAACTTGAACTCCTTCCCCTCTATTGCATGCTTTATTGCCTAAAATTCATGTGTTGTGCACTGATTAACTCTATGTAGCACTAATATGAATAGGAGGATTAAGTCCTTTAAGAACTAGTATCATATACCCTTCACAGGAGAGTCTAAAACAACGGGACAAGATTGTCGTTATTACATCATTGCATGCAATTATGAAACTTTCTACAAACATCTTCCTCCATACCCTGCGTTTCTGATCAGTGCTTGCTTTGTATCTTCCGAAGTAACAAAGTCCCTCTGCTCAGCAACCTATTTTAATTTATTTGTTTCATATTTTTATCACAATGCAACAGTATATAAATTATATTAGAATTAAATGTTTGTAAAAGTTTCAAGTACTAAAGGCTAAAGCAAGTGTGTGATGATAAATTTTGTACCTCAGAACAAGAAGCCTGCAATGAGAAGTCACTGAAGCAGCTAATGACACATTGTTGAATCTCTAAGCCTAGAGTCTCCAATGTAGTAACCGTTGATAGAAGCAATCCCGGTTTTGTAGAACAACATATTTTAATATGCGTATCAACTTCCCTTTGTTCCACTTCAAACTGTAAATTGTACACGTTCTTGTTAATGCAGAGAAAACAAAAAGAAACAATCACAACTGGTCTGGAACAAGTGATCTTTAAAGGGATGGATTTGTAAACACACAAAAAAATTACGAGTAGTAAAGAGGAGGTATCCTAACATTCCTGTTTTATTTTTTACCTTAAGGGAGTTTCTGACCAAAGATTCGTCTGTAATGAGGGTATTTAGATGAGAGTTGCTTCCAAGTTCTTGGTCGTCTTCTTGCAACTTGTTAATCTTGTCTAAAAGCTCCTTCATGTAATCTATGGCATCCCCTAGTATCGTTGTCCTATCCATCTGATTTCATAACAATACTTTAAACAATTAGATACATTTTCTTAAACTACGGTCTATATATGCAACGTCACATAAAAAGGCAACCATTATAATGAACAGTGTTGAAAAAGGTTCCAAACAAGAAGAAAACATACATGTAACGTTAAGAACTTAGAGCAAAAAAGGAAGAATAATTCCTGTTGACTATAGATGAGTTCAGAGAAAAGAAAGTTAAGTAAAAACCATTGACACAATTCAGTCAAGAAAAAGTTTCAATTATAAGTGAAAATAATAATTAAGTTGTTAGGAATTTTGCCTTGGTGATTTTGGGGACAATGGATCGGAGCATGGAGAGTCGGTCGTTTAACCGCTTCCTCCGCCGTCTCTCCGCCATGAGATTCTTCGAAGGTTGGCCTCCAAGTTTCTTAATACTCTTTTTCTTGTTAGTCATCACTCCGGTGCTCACGAAGCTCTTGCTTTCCACCATCAATGGTGCATAAACGTTGTTGTTGTTCTCTTGTGAAGTCGGAAGAAGCAATGGAGGAGGATAGTAAGAGGAGTCTATGATATCTTCGAGAAAAGGATACTCGAAAGCGGAGGAGAGAGGCGAAGAAGGAGGAGGAGGAGGTGACAAAGGTTGTGGTGGTTGGTGAAGCAATGGAGGTGGCTGAGAGATTAGATTCATCAAAGAAGAACAAGGATGATCAACGTTGTCGGTTTCCACGAGGGGACTGTTGAAACGTAAGTAATCGAAGTTCCAATCATTCGGAACGAACTGGTCCATCGCCATGAATCCGCCTTTCAGGCCGTCGAGATTGTTGCTTTCTTGTTTATTCGTCAATTGGGTCAATTCCATTTCCATCTCTCTGTTTCTGAAACTCTGTTCTTTGACAAAGTGGAAGTGAACAAAGCGTTTGTAAGTTTGGGTCAAAGAAGATGGACTGTTAACTTATATAATGCATTACTACTACGTGTGAACTGTGAAGTGTAATGAATAAATCAGCGCTTAACTAATTATACTTAATTTATCCCATCTTTTTATAATCTCCATTGTTACATAAGAATAGGCTTTTAAAAAAGAATAAAACAATAGAGTAGTTTTTGTCTAGTTTGCTCAAGGAATAAAGGAGAGAGACTGTAACATTTAACCGTGTTTGTCCCGTTTTTATTTAATCCATGGTCCAGCACAAACCTAATAAGAGGCCTATGATTGAGATGGAATCTGCCATTTCGTTTTAACTTTTATTATAACTTATGTACTGTTTGATTCTATTAGCTATAGTAACAAAAGGTAAATGAGTCGGTGTCTTTGTCACTGAAAACGGACCATCAATAATATTGATACGACCATACAAAAAAGGAGTCCTCATTAACAATTTATTAGAGTATGTGATGATAAAGAAATAGTATCAAGTAATTAAGTTCCTTCGAAAACTTTATCTGACCCACACAAACTCTATCCCGACCGGCGACCAAAACGAATGAACATCACGTACTTTACTACTTGCCCTCTTCATTAGTCAACTTCTTCGTATATACATAATCCGAATGGGAACATACATTGAAAATATGAATACTAATCAGATTCATACAAAAATAGCAGCGGTAATGATATATTCTAGCTAGGTCAAAGCGATAATGATCTAGATTTCTAGATCGAGAAGCTGCCATTTGATATGTCTCTTTGATTGGATAGTGTTAATTAGTAATTTGTGAGTTTTACGATATATCTAGAATATATATATATTGGTATCTAACAAGAACACGTACGTGACAACACCGATCCGTTACGTTAAAAAGAGAAGTGAACAACAACCCGTGTCTTCTATAGACATAACTCCGCAAATTATTACATTGTGTGTATCAGTGTATGCTTGTATTAAGATGGGAAAGAAAAGACTGACAGGTCAAAGAGATCTAAAGGCATTCGTCAAAGAGATTTGTTTGTATTAGCTAGACAGTTGCGTGAGAGTTTGTGGACACACACTTAAAGAGACTGTCTCCCTACTCTATCTTCTCTCCATTATTATATTAGTCAATCGTATATCATTATTGTCTCTCGATTACATTTTTCTTTTTTTACAGTTTACAGTTTACAACACAAAATCGTATGCAAAATAAACTGATAAATTTGGATTTCTGGGGTGAGATTTTTGTGGATACTGCATGGATACACACAATTGAAACTGCTAGACGAAATCATTCTTGGATACAACATTATTGGGTTTGATAAAGCTTTTGTAAAGCTAGAAATAAGAAGAAGACATGATGCTCAAATGTACAAGGAAAAGTCACGAATCTCAAGGTAAATCGCATGCAAGGAGGGAGAGCAAGAGATAGAACACGTGCATAGGTTTCTCAATAATGAGAAATCCAATATTGCAGCAATTATTTTTCTATGTGACCATGAGTCCATGAATGACCAAGCCACTAGGGATGTATTACTTGAAACTATTGTTTTTTGTTGACTGGATCCTCTTGACGTAATACGTATATAGTATCCCGGGACATGAATGATATACATAATTTATGGCTATTCTAAGCCCTAGACTAAAAATGATAATTTGGTTGTGCATTTGACATATACGTATCTATTTTTCTTTAAGAGCTACTATACAATCATGTTCCTTGATTTTAGTTTATTTATTACTACAACCCTTGAGTCATAAATAAGGCCCATAAATGTTTTAGCCCATTTAGAGTTAGTTAACATGTTAATAAAGGAAATAGTGAAAAAATCCAACTATCATCTAACCGGTAGGTGTCAAGTGACAAAGAAAGCAATGCACCAACCGGTCCAACTGTTGATCTTAATTTGGATTTCACCGGTCTAATGAGTCCGGTTTAAAACTCAAACGTTTTAGTTTTACTGTTTTAGTTTCCTTTCTATCACTCCTACACTCCTCCAGTATTTTTTGTTCTCTCCAAAAAAAGTATGAATCCTCAGTTGACTCTAATCTCCCTACTCTTCTTCACTTCCGCCATAGCTCAAACCTTCAAAAACATCGATTCTCATCCGCAGTTCCCTTGTAAACCTCCTCATTTCAGCTCTTACCCTTTCTGCAATGTCTCTTTATCTGTAAAACAGCGAGCAATTTCTCTCGTCTCCCTCCTTACGCTCCCGGAGAAGATCGGTCAGCTCTCAAACACAGCTGCTTCCGTACCTCGTCTCGGCATCCCTCCGTACGAGTGGTGGTCTGAATCGTTACACGGCATCGCCGATAACGGTCCCGGCGTTTCATTCAACGGTTCAATCTCCTCCGCTACTAGTTTCCCTCAGGTAATCGTATCCGCCGCATCTTTCAATAGAACGCTATGGTACGAGATTGGATCTGCTGTTGCGGTGGAAGCTCGGGCTATGTACAACGGTGGTCAAGCTGGGTTGACCTTTTGGGCTCCTAATATAAACGTGTTTAGGGATCCGAGATGGGGGAGAGGGCAGGAGACTCCTGGTGAGGATCCGAAGGTTGTTTCAGAGTATGGAGTTGAGTTCGTTAGAGGGTTTCAAGAAAATAGGAAGAGGAAGGTTTTGAAAAGAAGATTTGGTGATGGTGATGATGACGATGCTCGTTATAATGATGATGGTGATGATGGGAAACTCATGTTATCTGCTTGTTGTAAACATTTCACTGCCTATGATTTGGAAAAATGGGGGAATTTCACTAGATACGACTTCAATGCTGTGGTAAGACTAAGACCTCTGTCTTTGTTATGTTTAAAGCTTATGGATGCAGCTTCAATTTGGTTTAAATTAGAAATTCGGTGGTTTTAATCTTGTTATTAGACAAATCATGTTAATAGTTCTGTCAGCGTCTATTTTTGAAATTTATTCATTGATCCACTATTTTCCTGTGTAGATAATGGTTCATACTTCATACAGAAACAACACCCGAGCTACTTAGCCTACTTTGTTGTTAGACATTTTCATTTCATTCTCTTAAGAGAATTATGAATGCTTATATTTCACTTTTCTGTGGTGTGTTCATCAGCACTTGTTAGTTGTTATCCTGTTGCTGCCTTTTATGGAGGGGAATTTAGATGGTGAAATCGGAAATCTTAAGTTTGTGAAAACTATTAGGCATTGATTTGGAAAGCACCTTAAAATCTAATGTTATTGGAAAGTTAAGGAAAAGCTTCTACATATTCAAGTTAATGGCTTTTGCTGTTTACAATATTTCATGTCGGGATGGTTTTATTTCATGCACTGATTCTAGCTTACTCTGTATTAGTAGGTCACAGAACAGGACATGGAAGATACATACCAGCCTCCATTCCAGAGCTGTATTACAGATGGTAAAGCTAGCTGCTTGATGTGTTCATATAATGCAGTTAATGGAGTGCCAGCTTGTGCACAAGAACACCTATTAAAAAAAGCTCGAATTGAATGGGGATTTGAAGGGTAAGTAAAATTGAATTTATGTTTGTAGTACTTTGATTTGGTCAATGAAAGACATAACATGAGCATTTGTTAAATCCGGGCAGGTACATTACATCAGACTGTGATGCTGTGGCAACCATTTTTGAGTACCAAGGATACACAAAGTCACCCGAAGAAGCTGTTGCTGATGCCATTAAAGCAGGTCCATTTGAGCTCTTTAATCTTGTTTGAATTTGTACATGTTTTGTTTTAAAATGAAAACTGAGATGGTGATTCTTAGGGGTGGATATAAATTGTGGAACGTACATGCTTCGGAACACAAAATCTGCGATCCTGAAAGGAAAGGTGAGCGAAGAACAAGTAGACCAAGCTTTGCTAAATCTCTTTGCAGTTCAACTTCGTCTTGGACTTTTCGACGGAGATCCAAGAGAAGGACTTTACGCGAAGTTAGGATCAAATGACATTTGTAGCTCAGACCACAGAAAATTGGCACTGGAAGCAGCAAGACAGGGCATCGTACTTCTGAAAAATGTTCACAAGTTGTTGCCTTTAAACAAAAACCATGTTTCTTCTTTAGCAATTGTTGGTCCTATGGCGAATAATATAAGCAATATGGGCGGCACTTATACAGGTTTGAATAATCTAGTTTCTTGTTATATTGAAGCAGGCTAAATTCTTCTCCTCGCTGAAACAGTTTAGAAATTTCATATTTGTAAAGGAAAGCCGTGTCAACGAACGACTCTGTTCACGGAACTTCTGGAGTATGTAAAGAAGACATCCTATGCGTCTGGTTGCTCAGACGTGTCTTGTGATTCTGATAACGGATTTCGAGAAGCTGTTGCCATTGCCAAGGGAGCGGATTATGTCATAGTAGTTGCAGGACTAGATCTCTCTCAAGAAACAGAGGATAAGGATCGATTTAGTCTTTCTTTACCTGGTAAGCAGAAAGATCTTGTGTCTTCTGTTGCAGCTGTAAGCAAAAAACCGGTGATTCTTGTTCTAACCGGTGGAGGACCTGTGGATGTAACATTTGCTAAAACCGACCCGAGAATAGGAAGCATCATCTGGATTGGTTATCCAGGTGAAACCGGTGGACAAGCACTTGCTGAAATTATATTTGGAGACTTCAATCCAGGTTAGTCTAGTGCAAATCAAAGCATCATTGTCCATATATGTTTATGATATGCAGAAACCGAATATCTCAAGTGCTATCGGTTCAAAATGCAGGTGGAAGATTACCGATGACATGGTATCCGGAGTCATTCACAGATGTGGCGATGTCGGATATGCATATGAGAGCCGATTCATCTCGTGGATATCCGGGAAGAACATACAGATTCTATACAGGACCTCAAGTTTACAGTTTTGGAGCGGGTTTAAGCTACACGAAATTCGATTACAAGATCACATCAGCACCAACCAGACTTAGCTTATCAGCACTTGTTCCAAAACAGTCTTCTCACAAGAAACTAATAATCCAAGGAGAAGAACAGCTCCGATTCTTACAGCTAGATGATGCGACGGTTAACTCCTGCGAAAGTCTGCGGTTCAACGTTCAGGTCAACGTGAGCAATAGCGGAGAAATCGACGGAAGTCATGTCCTGATGCTGTTTTCGAAAATGCCACAGGTAATATCTGGCGTTCCGGAGAAACAGCTGATAGGTTTCGATCGTGTTCATGTACGTTCCAAAGAGATGATCGAAACAGTGTTGGTGATCGATCCATGCAAGCATCTAATCGTAGCGAATGACGTCGGAAAGAGAGTGATACCTCTCGGGATCCATGTCTTGTCATTGGGAGATTTACAGCATTCTCTCTCTCTTGAATTCTAGATAGAAATAATAAAACTGTCTTCTCCGAATAAAAAGCCAAATAAATTGTGAGATCCCTTCTAGAAAGATACTGTATATAGCAAACTTTAAACAAATAAACAGAAAGAGCCACGTCAGATAAAGGGAGGGTGAGACGCACGCAGTTATTAGAAGGCGCGTGTGGCCGCGTAGGAGAGATAATTCTACAGAGAAAGGTGAGCTGTCATGGGTCCCACGTAATGCTGAGAAAAGGTCCCCACATCTGTAAGAGTGTTTGGGGATAGACGCAACCCTCATCACAGCCCAGCAAGCCAGCGTAACATTAACATTTAGTGTTATTTACGGTTATGACCTCCCTTTCCTTTTTCCCTGAATTTTCTTTTAAATACCTGACACCTCAGCATATATGATAACAAGTGTGTGTTAACAAAGGGATCCGACCGTCCAGATTCGACCCAACTTCGTCAAATGTATGTATAAATACAAAAATTGAACTTATATGTCTCTCAATAATGTAACTGAGTCACTCTCTCTCTCTCTCTCTCTTTTTTCTTAAAACATGGATCGAGTCTCTCTCTCTCGTTCTCCCTCTCCTTTCTCTCTGGTATAAAGAAATTATTTTATGTTCTCCCTTATAAAACTCAAAAAAGATAGATACAAATCTTGGGAAAGAAAATGAAAGAGGTCAGGAGGAGGAAACAGTTCACAGATTCTCTCAGCCTTTGGTAATATTATCTCTTGAGGGGTAATTTCGTCATTTAAGCAGATCAGGGACGGTTGCCTCAGATTAAAAACAATGCCGGTGTTTGTCGTCTGTACTACCCCTTTCAACCCGGCGAGTTTGACCCTCGGCGTTTTAATTCTACAACATATAATTCTTTGCTTTCGCTTTATGTGTATCTCTCTATCAATTGAAGTGTGATGCAATTTTTTTTTATAAATATTTATGAGGAGATTGGAATTTTTATAGCTCAAGAAAATGGACAGAGAGTATTCAAGAAACTGCTGACCTAGCAAAAGTGAAAGCAAGACAAGAAAAAAATTTAACAAAAATTAAGCGTGGGCCCCCATGTAAGGCAGTTCAGACTCCGATATTACCAAAACACTAGTATTTAAAAAAAAAAAACATTTAATTAAAGAAAAATCGTAGGAAGAAAAAAAGCACACATGACTCTAACCAACGGCCGTGGAACAGTCACTGGATAAATTAAATCAATCTGAGCCGTCCATGTCAGATTTTTCGGGCACCTTGATCGGGCAACGTCATCAAACAGATCTTAACCGTCAGATCTCATATCAACGGTGAGGAGATGCACTAAGCATTTTCACGGGCAGGTTTCAATGTCCTTTAAGAAGAGACGATGCCTCACCTTCTTGTTCCTCGTCCTCTTCTCCTAACTTAAAAATCTCTTCCTTTCTTCTGATCGCCGGAATTGTTTTTCCGGTGGCGTTAATTTCTCATTTTTACCCCTTTTTATTGAGAGGATATAAAAAAACCTCTGATCTTAGTCCGGCGGAGATAGAGAGAGAGAAGAGATCCCTTTGAAATGATCTTGTGCCCTTCGATTTTTGTATGGCACCGGCGGTTTTGGCTAACCTAAACGAACCGTTGTTTCAGGGACAATGTGGCGCCGTTTTTATGAGGAAATACACTAACCAACCCCTTTCCGATGGTATCAACAACCCTCTTTTCAACCCTAACCCTAACCCTAACTCTGTCTCACCTTACGGGAACAATTCCACCAAGCAGTTCGACGATTCGCCAGCGTACGGAGACTACGTTTCCTTTGAGCTTGATGGGTACAACGCCAGTCAGCTCAGGGAGCTGAAGAAGCGTCTCAATTCTGAGCTCGAGCAAGTTCGGTTCCTGAGAGAAAGGATCGAATCGGGTACGTTCTTCAGCGGCTCTGTTTATACTAGTCAAGCTCGTAGCTTCGCTGATGAAACGAATGACGTTGGAGTGAAGAAGACGAAGAAGAAGAAGACAATTGGGCATGGTCAGAAGCGAAGCAATCCGTTTGATACGGGCAAGCCTGTTCCTAAGCGTCATGTGGTGGCTTTGGATCTGATGTCAGAGAAGGTATTGGCGAGTATGATGACGACGTGCGGTCAGGTCTTGGTCAAGCTGATGAAGCAGAAATGGTCATGGGTGTTCAACAAGCCTGTTGATGTAAAAGGTTTAGGGCTTCATGACTATCATGTCATCGTGAAGAAACCTATGGATCTGGGCACGGTGAAGATGAATCTGGATAAGGGTTTTTACAGATCACCGATTGATTTCGCTTCTGATGTTAGGTTGACTTTCACCAATGCGATGTCGTATAACCCAAAGGGCCAAGACGTTTATTTAATGGCTGAGAAGCTTCTGGGTCAATTTGATGTTTGGTTCAACCCTACATTGAAGAGGTTCGAGGCGCAAGAGCTCAAAGTTATGGGATCATCTTCTCGCCCTGAACCTGAACTCAACCAAAGAATGTGGAATCAAAATCAGGTGGCGGAGATTGTAAGGAAAGGACCTGAACAGATTTCTATTGCCAAAAAGCTAGATTCAGTGAAGCCACTACCTGCATTGCCACCTCCTCCTCCAGTAATGGAGCTGCAACGTGTCCCATCTCCTCCTCCGTCACCGGCTCAGCCAACACCTCCACCACCACCTCCCCAGCCTGTGAGCCAAGTCGAAGCACCACCTGAAGTGGGTGAAGCGAATAAGGGAAGGAAAGGGAAGTTACCGAAACCCAAGGCTAAGGATCCAAACAAGAGGCAAATGACAATGGAAGAAAAGGCAAAGCTTGGCGTAAATCTACAAGAATTGCCTCTTGAGAAGCTGGGACAGTTGATTCAGATTCTGAAGAAGAGAACAAGAGACTTAACTCAAGATGGCGATGAAATTGAGTTAGATATTGAATCTTTGGACAATGAGACTCTGTGGGAGCTTGATCGTTTTGTCACTAACTACAAAAAGATGGCAAGCAAAATCAAGCGACAAGGGTTTATCCAGAATGTGTCAACTCCACCAAGAAATCTGGTAAAGCAAATTTATGATCTGTTGTTTCATATAGCAGCTATTGTTTCTGTCTAGTAATACTGATAGATGTCTGTATCATCAGCCTTTAATGACTGAAATGGGAAGCGCTGAGAAGAGAGGGAGGAAAGGAGGGGAGGCAGGAGAAGAAGATGTCGACATTGGAGAAGATATACCAATTGAGGATTATCCATCAGTGGAGATTGAAAGGGATGGTACAGCCGCTGCTGTGAGTGGTGGATCTAGTCCTTCTGGCAGCTCCAGTTCCAGTGGCAGTTCTTCGTCTAGTGGTAATCACGTTTTCCTTATCATCTATTTCTCTGTTACATGTTTCATAATCTGTTTCCAGCGTTGTCTCATGTGTGTGACTCAATGCAGATTCGGAGTCAGGGAGTTCATCAGGAAGTGATTCGGATGCGGATAGTGTGCAGTCTCCGTTTGTGGAGGCAAAAGAAGCCCCTTGATAAACTGTTGAGGAAGATTAGAACGTATTACTTTCCTCTGCTTGAACGTGCGTTGATATAAGCAAAACATGAATCGGAGTATCTGGCGGAGGTGGAACTTTGGTGTAAAGGGAAATGAGGATGGAAACTCGAAAGAAAATATTTCGAGTGTTAGGGAAACAGTAGATAGAGAGAAAAATGTAAAGGGTAGTTTAGAGATCTCTAGGTCGAGTAAAGAAAGAAGTGGAAGAGTTTTTCTTTTCTTTTTTCTCTTTCAGATTAAGGTTCTTTAGTTCCTTTAGATTATTGGTGACACCGTGAACAAAGTGACCGAGTATGGGGAGGTGATGAGGATCTATTGGTGGTTCTGTTCCTTTTCTTTTCGACTCTTTGTTCTAATTCGGGAAGAAAGAACATAATGTAGTGTAAAATTTTATGGTTCAAAGATGACAAGAATGATCCCTATTCGTTTTGTTTATAAACTTTTATTATTGCACCAAAACGTTTCAGTGAAGTTCGAAAAGACCACAGTATTTTGGGCTCAGTGATCAAACAAGTAGAAAAGTTTAATATACTTAGATGACTTTAATAAACGTAAATCTGATCAAGACTGGAAAGGACATTAATAGTTCAAGGCTTCAAGCAGTGGCAGCTAAGAGCCCATTGTGTCTGAGGAGAGGCTCTGGGGAAGGTTCTCGGCCTCTGAACTCCACGAACACCTGTTCAATATGCACCGTTTAAGCTTTGTTAACAAACGACTTGGATATATATAGGTAGAACTTATAAAGGCAGTGACGATTACTTTTACCTGTAGAGGTGCCTTTCCTCCTCCCAGAGCAAGTATAGTATTTCTGAACCTCTGTCCTGTTTCTTTAACAGCCTGTGTTCCGCAACCCACACAACACAAAGAGATGTTCACAATCTGGCAAATTAAATAAAAGGTTCAATATGATTTGCTTTGCAGCATATACCTTGATGTCATCCAACCCAGCATCTTCAAAGGCTGAAAACGCATCCGCAGACAAAACCTCCGCCCACTGCACGTCTCGACAAATTGATTTTAGATAATTGACCAACAGAGAATCGTCGTCAAGAGATTTGTTGTACCGATGTTTATTTAAACATTTAAAAAATAAGAGACTATTTACCTTGTAACTGTAGTATCCAGCTGCATAACCGCCTGACAAGATATCAGAAGGTGAATAAGTCAAACAAAGTATCAAATGCACCTATGCTAAGCGTCCTTGGCTGATGTTATGTTCACAACAAAATGGTAGTTATAGATGTTACCTGCAAAAATATGACTGAAGCTGCAGAGGAATCTATCCTCCGGAAGTGGAGGGATCACTTGTGTTTTTATGGACACCCTTTGATCAACATCGTAGATGGTCTCTGTCCCACCTGGCATATATTTTGTGTGCAGCTCCAGATCAACTGTAGCAAACTTCAACTGGAACAAAACAACAGCCATATTTTCTGAAATGTGGTTTTACAGTTCCACTGAAGAAGATTCTCTTGGTACTACATTGTATGAACATGAGCAGTTTGATATGGATGTACTGACCTGACGAAGACTAAGGGACCCTGCACGGAATGTTCTTGCAGCAAGGAGCTTCTTGTATACATTCTCGGGAAGAGTTTCTCCGGTTTGATAATGTTTAGCAATGCTCATCAAGGTATCCCTGAAACCACATTCAGATGATGTTCACTATAAATTTACAAGTAAAATGCCTCTATGCAAGGACTGCAACAAAGAATTGGCAAGGAGACAAAATCACGGGGATCCAAATTAAATTCATTTCGGCAAGGCAATTAAACCCAACTACCCAAGTACCTGTGGTAGCACCAGTTCTCCATAAACTGAGAAGGTAGTTCAACTGCATCCCACTCAATATTTCGGATACCAGCCACTAGTCCCTCATCCTCTTTGGTGAGCATGTGCTGAAGAGCATGGCCAAATTCATGGAACACAGTCTCTACCTGTAAACCAGAGCTAGTGGTATTAATGTCATAAGGAACAAGGAACATGAGTCCTTCACCATGCATATAAGAGTCCGCATATCAAGATTCATGTCAATATCCTACATTAATCCTGAAGGTACCTAAAGTTTCAAGTATGGAGAGCTACACATAGGTCGAAAAGAGAAAGCTACTCCTAATGACTATTAAATTTTGTCATAGCATGGTCCTTCATGCCACCATTATGTAAAGTTTCATGAGTGAATCACATTCCACAAAATATTTGTGTAAATTTTAATAAAATTACACATGGAGTAAGTTTTATCAGGTACCAATCTAACTTCCAGTTCAGAATAAACTACTCTTGTGAGCATGGGTAACCATAATTCGTTACCAACTACCATACATGCTCAGCATTTACTTCTTAGTTAACTCTTCTAATACTTCCTCAGATCAATATAAGCTCTACTAATTGATGTTCTTTACCTCACGGAATGTCATAAGGCTTGGCTTGTCACCAACTGGAGGAGTTTGGTTGCAGACCATTTGAGCAACAGGGAGCCGAACAGAGGAACCCTTTTGGGCCATGACTCGGCTACGAGAAAAAACTTCATCCATCCAAGCACCATCTCTCTTTTCTGAAGGACGGGAGTATGGATCAAAGTAGAAATAAGCAATTGGATTTCCAGAAGAATCTTTGACGCAGTAGAACCTAACGTCACTGTTCCAGACCTTCAAGGCAATAATATATAACATGTTAACAAACATAATAACATGATTGACATAAGCAGAAACACAGACATATTAGGTTCTAGATTTTACCGGAGCCACACCATCCGCTGGCACAACATCAATTCCAAATAGTGTCTTCCCTAGACCGAATAACGCATCCATAACCTTTGGCAGTGAGAAATAAGGTCGCAGTTCTTCCTACAAAATTAAAAGCAGTGAGTGATAAGCGTCAAGAGTTTCATAACAATATACAATCGTATCACAATATAAAGAATACGAACGAGAACCTCATTAATATCGTATTTGGACTCACGAAGCCTCTCACTCCAGAAAGTGATGTCCCAGTGAGTCAAACTGTCAGCTTCTGCAGCACCTTGGTTCTTTGCAAAACTCTTAAGGTCTTCTATGTCTAAGTCCAGACACATGTAAAGAAATTAGGGTTCGGTTTTGAAAGGCGGATACAAAAAAGTGAGAGGGGCACTGTTATATACGTAACTAGACAGATAAATGCAGTAGCAGCATATTATTTTAACTACTACATGTTGATTTAAGGAAAATCTTCACTAGAAGTTACCTTGAACAGCCGGATCCCATGAAGCACTGCGAAGCTTTTCTAGTAGCTCATCTGCTTTCTCTACAGTAGCCATTTTTGTGGCCATGCTTACCTAGAGAAGGAGAACGACATTAGATTAAATTTAAGCCCATGAATAAAGGAGAGTCACTTGACTTAGATGACTATACCTCAGCGTAATTTCTGTAACCAAGAAGCTTAGCCTTTTCCAGTCGAAGCTTCAAGATTTGGTCAATAATTGCTGTATTATCTAAATCACCCGAAGAGGCACGAGACAAGTAAGCACGGTACACTTCCTCACGCAGAGACCGGTTTTTGGCATGTTGCATGACGGGCAGATAACTAGGAGCATCCAGTGTAATGAGCCATGGTCCAGTGTCAGCAGTTGCATTTTCATGTCCCTAAAGTCATATATTAAGATAAATCAACATTCAACACCTGAAAAAACCCCATGTAAATTAACATTAAACTTACACATCTTTCACATATTGTTCATACCTTGGAAACAGCTGCTTGTGCAAACAATCCAAGTGCAGATGGCGGCAACCCCTCAATCTCATTTTTGTCTGATATCAACTTTTCAAACTTCTTCGTAGCGTCCAAAACATTCTCAGAGAACTTGTGGGAAAGTTTTTCAAGTTCCTATAGTGGCAGCAAATGATGTTACTAATAAGTAATAACACTTGGAGCTGTGACAGACATAGATCCATTTACTAAACAAGCTGACAATTATTCGTCAAAAGTTTTATAAAAACCTGTTCAATTTTGTTAAATTCTTCTCTCTTGTCGTCTTCAAGAGCGATACCACTGAGAACCGCCTCCTTTATTTGTGCTGAAAACACACAGAAACCATATTAGCACATATCTTTAAACACTGAAAATATAAAAAGATTCTCCTTATCCATCACTTAAAAATAGAAAGAAGAGGACCAAACGTGTTCCTTCTTATGCCCCAATAATAGTTACTTGCCTTCAACTAATCGTTGACGAGCTTCGCTCAGTGTTTTCCAATCTGGAGATTCTCGAACAGCCTTAAATGCATTGTAAATGGGTTTGCTCTGCCCCAACCTGAGCTGGAACTTCACCTTCTCTGGCTGTAGATGCATGTATTGTTAGTAAAACAAGAATTGAATCCAAATTACCAAACAAACAAACAAAACTCAGAACTCCCTTTTGTCTGAATCAAAAAAAAAATCTACCAAATAGAACTATAATAAACTCTAGGAAACGAGCTTAACCATACTGCGTTAATATCATTTTTTAACATTGATGAAAGCATATGGCGGCAATGTAACAAATGTAGACATAAATAAGTAAGAACTTCACTTCACACCAGAGTACATAATATGAATCAAACCACTCATGAGCAAATAAAAGTCTACCTGAACTTCTTCAATGGCAGCACGAAGCTCAGGTGTGTCCTTGACAGCCTTAAGGTGGTTAATCATCCCCCAAACAACAGATAACCGGTCAATAATCTTCTCTAATGGCTCCACTAGTTTTGGCCATGAAGGCTCTACAGTCTTTTCTAGCTGCTCCAATTCAGCTTCCTGGAAAAATCCCATACAAAAAAACATCAAAATCGTTTCACACAAATTTCAATAGCTAAATATAGTCACATCAAATGATCCAGTAACGTTAGAAAACAGATGCAACATTTTACTAATCTGTTCATAGGATCATAAGAACAACACAGAAGTCGAATAAAAAAATGCAGAAGACGATAATGATCCAATCATCCAAACCCGATTTGAAAAAACACTCGCAAATGTTCTATACGATGCATCAAAACAGGAACACTAAAAAAGAGAACCGTACAAGCTGCTGCAATAAAGCACGAATCCCAGGTCTGACATGATGAGCATCAACGGAGTCAAACGGAGGGAAGTCAAAATTCTGCAATAGAGGGTTCGAGGAGAGAGAATCTTCAGAAGCCATTGAAGGAGACGTCGAAAAAGCGAGTGAGAAGCGGCGGTAGTGGAGGCTGAATCTGAGGGAGACAAATGGGGCAAGAGTGTGAGTAAGTTAAAGTTGAGGGGCGGATATGAGAATTATAGAAACTTGCGTTTGCGTTGCCTTGAGAGATCTTAAAGGGTAATTTTGTCAAATCAAGACTTCTCTAGTTGTATATCATTCCGAGTTGAGTTTTTGTGAACCGGACTTGGGGAGGTTCAGACTTCAGATGTTGTCATTTGGTTCGTTTCACGACGTGCCCACCATGTGTTCGACGGAATGATATTTTAGTCATAACTAGATTAGTCGCAGAAAGTTTATTGTTTTCTGAAAGGCATGAATCATGATCCAGGGTTACAAAGTATCAAAATTAGTTCCTACTATTTTCTTAAATTTTTACACATCGTTTTCGAAGATAATGTTGTCTGGTTTATAGGTTCTGTTTCCACGTAGGATAACGTATGTATTAATATTGAATATCTCTATATCACTTGGGTCAATTTGTTTGCTTGCTTATACAATTATTTATCGCATTCCTTTCATGATAACAGATAGACTTAGTTGACAAAAGTACTAAACAAAGGAACTGTACGGTTTTTTTTAAGGTTGATGCTTATTAGTTTTATCTGAGGTTTAAGGTGGCTTTATTATTTTTCTGATCATGGGTTTTTCATTGACTCGATGGAAGTTTATTTGCTTTTTAATGGTCTTTTAAATTCTGTTGTTTTCCAAATTCTCAAAAAGAACAGATCTTTAGAGTTTTGACCTCTCTCATCGTGCAATGACATGTTCTTGAGTTTACAGATGAACCGTCTGTGTTAATAACTAATAATCTCTCGTTCTATGACTAGTTTTGGTCGTGGATAATCTAGTTCTGTGGAGTATAATCAGTCTTAATGGTCTACTTTTGTGATCCCTTACTTTTAAAGTCTTAAAAACTTTGACTCTGCTTATTCACCCATTGGCTTGAGGAAATAAAAATGTCTTCTCTTTGATATGCCCAAGTTCCGTTGTGATTATTTTAAGCTATTCTTACAATTTAGGATGAGCATCAAACATGTCTTCCTCATTTTTATAATCTGTCATGTCATATTTCATAAGCAATCAAACAGAGTTATGATTTGTTTACTCCTAAGGTCAACTATATGGTGACTTAATTGGTTTTTTTTAATCAAAAAACAATTCCTGTGGTAGCTGGGATCACGCTCTCAAATGAATTCGTTCTTATAATCATGGTTTAGTCATTGACTTGGTGTTAAGTATACATACCAGTAACACCATCTTTGCCTCTTGTTCTAATAGATGCGTCTGCCTGTAAATGGCTAACTCAATCCTATTCTTTTTCTTTGTTTTGGTTCTCCCTTTTGTCTATTCAGTTCAGTTTAACATATCTCGTTTTGGGCCAGAGGTTTCTGAAATAGCGTACCAAGGAGATGCAAGAGCAAATGGAGCAGTTGAGCTTACCAACATAGACTATACATGCCGTGCCGGATGGGCTACTTATGGTAAGCAGATTCCCTTATGGAATCCAGGTACTGGTAAGCCGTCGGATTTTAGCACCCGTTTCTCCTTCAGAATTGATACCCGGAATGTTGCGTACGGCAATTACGGTCATGGGTTTGCTTTCTTTCTAGCTCCAGCAAGAATCCAATTGCCTCCCAACTCAGCTGGTGGTTTCTTGGGTCTATTCAATGAAAGCAACGCTCGAGCTTCTTCTTTCCCACTCGTCCATGTCGAATTCGACACATATAGTAATTCAGAATGGGATCCTCTTGACATGAAATCTCATGTGGGAATCAACAACAACTCTCTTGTTTCCTCTAACTCCACTTCTTGGAATGCAACCTCACACAACCAAGATATTGGCCGTGTGCTGATCTTCTATGATTCCGCTAGAAGGAACTTGAGTGTCTCTTGGACTTACGACTTAACATCTGATCCTAAGGAGAGTTCAAGCTTATCTTACATCATTGATCTTTCAAAGGTACTGCCATCAGAAGTAACAATTGGGTTTTCTGCGACATCTGGAGGGGTCACCGAGGGAAATAGACTTCTGTCATGGGAGTTCAGTTCAAGCCTGGAGCTAAGAGATATAAAAAAAAGGCAGAATGACAGGAAGGGGATGATAATTGGTATATCAGTTTCTGGGTTTGTTTTGCTGACGTTTTTAATTGTCTCGCTCATCGTCTTCTTGATTCGGAAGCAGCGGAAGAAGAAATCAGAGGAGAAAGCAAACTTGACTTCGATAAATGATGATCTCGAAAGAGGAGCAGGACCACGAAGGTTTACTTATAAAGATCTTGCATCAGCTGCCAACAACTTCTCAGATGATAGGAAGCTAGGGGAAGGAGGGTTTGGAGAGGTTTATAAAGGGTACTTAAACACCTTAGATATGATGGTTGCAATAAAGAAGTTTGCTGGCGGATCTAAGCAGGGAAAAAGAGAGTTCATAACGGAAGTAAAGATAATCAGCAGTTTGAGACATCGAAACCTTGTGCAACTCATTGGTTGGTGTCATGAGAAAGATGAGTTTCTAATGATATATGAGTTCATGCCAAATGGTAGCCTTGATTCCCATCTATTTGGTAAAAAGCCGCATCTCCCTTGGCCTGTGAGGTGCAAGATAACTCTCGGTATAGCCTCTGCGCTGCTTTATCTTCACGAGGAGTGGGAGCAATGTGTTATACACAGAGACATCAAGGCGAGTAACGTGATGCTTGACTCCAATTTCAATGCCAAGCTTGGTGATTTTGGGTTGGCTAGATTGATGGACCATGAGCTGGGTCCACAGACTACAGGGTTAGCGGGAACGTTTGGTTACATGGCTCCTGAATACATAAGCACCGGAAGAGCGAGCAAAGAATCTGACGTTTATAGCTTTGGAGTTGTTACACTAGAGATTGTTACAGGAAGAAAATCCGTGGATCCAAGACAAGGAAGAATAGAGCCTGAAACAAGCCTTGTAGAGAAAGTGTGGGATCTCTACGGGAAAGGAGAAGTTATCACAATTATTGATGAGAAACTCAGGACCGATGGTTTGGATGAGAAGCAAGCAGAATGTCTCATGATTGTAGGGCTATGGTGTGCTCATCCTGATAGAAACTCAAGGCCTTCGATAAAACAAGCGATCCAGGTCTTGAATCTCGAAGCACCATTGCCTCATCTTCCAAACAAAATGCCTGTTGCTACTTATCATGTGTCGTCTTCGGGTACTACAACATCGGTGAGCTCTGGTGGAGCTAAGGTAACGTTTTCAAGTGCTCAACATGGTCGTTGAGAAAAACATCCGTTGTTGCTGTGTATATAGCCTTTTTCTTAATCTTGTTTCTTCGGCTTTGTGTGTATGTGCTTCTCTCTTATTGATCTTTCTTGTTTTTCCTGTGTATGTGTTGTATACTTAATAATCACTGTCCTTCTGTAATCTGTATTGTAATCTTTCTTACAGTAGGTTTCAGTTTTTTCATATTTGACTCTGATTTCAGTTTTTTCTGTGTCTTTCACTCTTTTGGGTTTGGGCTTATAAAAGCCCAAAAAAAAAAAAAGAAGTAAATGATAAAAACAAAAGGAATCGCCGCGCCAGGTAGGGGTCGAACCTACGACCTTCTGCTTAGGAAACAGACGCTCTATCCACTGAGCTACAGGCGCTTCTTGACATTTATATTCATAATAATGAATATATATCATTTTCATTCAGATATAAAACATCTTAAGCGTGGAGAAAAACGGTTGAACTGACTTCTCTCTAACTGAAATTCACATTGGTGAGTTTGGTGGCGATTTTTTAAAAATTTTTGTGATTTTTTCTTGTGATGAAAAAATTAATGGTTGTGGTGTACTAGTACTAGTAGTAGTAGAATACATATTAACGGGGTTTAGTTCACCAACTAACACAATTAATCTTCCCTACTTACACTGAGCTCCTTTTGTTTTTATGTAACAAGACTAATTTACATACTTCAGACAACCAAAATTTCTAGACCCGAGTCATTTTTGTAGAATTAAGTTTGTAATTTTTACTTAATGACGTTTTTGTTAAAGAATTTATACTTTAATGATGTTTTCTTTTGCGTATGGAGACAAAGTGTATCGTGAAAATTTCCTAACAGTTACTACTAATAAATGGACTTTCAATGTATGATTTTTATTGAGTATGGCGTAATGAAACAGACAAAGTACACTAGAATATAGGGTCTTATAACATATTCACTTGGGTTGTCTCTAAAGAAAGTTAGTTGATTTTAATGCTTTTGGGTGATATTTATAACTCACACTTTCTTCTTCTGCTTTGTTTTCATCCACGCAGGCCTTATATTACAGGTGATGATATAGTATCTCATAAAGTCATTTTAATCCTCGGAAATTAAGGGATTGCGAAATTTAGATTTGTGTTTATTATTTGCAGTCCTCATTAATTGGTACATACAAGTCTGAGGTAGGTCCATATTGTCACGCATGGCAATGGTTACGTTGAGAAAGAAAAATAATATATTCGTAAACCAAAACAATTATAGCCATCATTACGAATGGATAACTCTTGTTTTAACAACTTTCATATCATTAATAACGCAGATTATGTAGTGGAAAGTAGAAACCTTATTTTCATGTATTATTTGTGAATTGAAAATATTATAAAACATGGTTGAATATTAAAAATTCATATTAAAGATCGATGGCTTAGTTTTGTAGTCAAATTTGTCTGCCATATGTTTCCTACCTTTATGCCGCCATGAAAAAATTGAAAATATAAAAGAAGAAGATGAATCAGACAGCACACTCACCAATTGTCGATTTTAAACTTAAGTTTTGTCAACTCCTATATATATGTGCAAATCCATACATATACTATTCCTTTCCATTGTAATTGTCTTCGTTTTATACCATACTATAGCAAAAACATAAAACCGTCACCTTCAAACTTATAAACCATGATGAAACCGAATGTTCCGACAAACACTTAGAAACCTCGTTAAACATGTAAAAAAACATAAACTCGAATGTAAGAAGAAAAATTAGCTTAGGTTTGCTAAATGATGAACAAACAAAAAACCTTGTCCATATTTTCATTTTTTTCACATGGGCTAACGAATAATAGCTATTTTGCGGAGGATATAATTTGAGTGAAATATAATCTAAACAAAACCCTTTTAAATATTAGTAAAAAGCTCAGTTTCATTACAAGCAAAGGTGATGTGTCTTCCTTATTTTAATAGACGAAAAATGGCAACAAAACCAGCTCCATATAGATTCATTGTAGTATCTTTCAACCGTCGATGTTTGTACATCGTAAAGGCGTTGGTTACGGCATCAATCTCTAATCCTTTCACCTTCTTCCTCAAGAGACATTTTTTATAAAAAAAAAATTAAAAGAACTTAGTACATAACTAATTTAGAAACCAGATATTACAAAAAACAAGAAAAACAAAACTTGACTTGACTTGCAGTTGAAATGAAATGAAAACAAAAAGTTGAAATTGCACGGTGGAGTTGTATAAATATAGCAGAGATTCCAATCCATCTCCACTCAGCAAAGCTGACTCTTCTTCAATCTTTCTATTTCTTCCAAGAATCATAACTACCTTTCTCTCTTCTTTCCTTTTTTTTCTCACAAATAACAAAACAAAACGCAAATAAACCTTTCTTTTCTTGTTTCCCTGTGATTCTCTTCTTCTCTGTTTTGTATCTTTTTCTTTTTTTTTTGGGAAAGTTTGTTTAATGGAAAATCTAAGTGTAATTTAATTTAAGGGTTTGCTTATTCTCTTATTAGAGATCAATCCCAGAGGAATCACTGGAGCTATGGCTGTTGAAGGTACAACCTATACATATTTCTCTTTTTTTTTTTTTCCTGGGTTTATAAATATGTTTTTACATGTTATAGAAATGACTTTTTGTATTCCTTGTAACAGAGAGCAATAACAAAGAAAGCAAAGAGCATCAAGAGATAGAGCTTCATAGGAACGACTTAGGCCTCGAGGATTCATCATCTCCCAGAGGTGTACTCGGAAACGCAGCTATGGCTTCTGATTCCGACAACAACAGCAGCAATTACAGTAGCTGTAGCTCTTGCTCCTCTGATGATAAATCATCTGCGTCCTCACCGTTTTCGACTACTCCTAAAAACGTTTCGTCTTCTTACCATGGTCTTCAATGGAACAGAATGATTGAATCTATCAAGAAGAAGTCCATGAGACGATTCTCTGTCATTCCTCTCCTCGCAAGTTACGAACTTACCCGTAAAAACTTGCGGCGTAAGCAACCAGCAAAGTTCTCTCCCTCTGATAATAGTAGTTTCCCCAGCGAAGCTTTCTTCATGGCTAAACCTTCTTGGAGGAACTTCACTTACGAAGAGCTCGCTGCAGCCACCGATTATTTCAATCCTGGTAAATACGAATTCAAACACAAAGCCTTCTCAATCATATTTTGGGTTTAGAATCTGAGTTTTTTTCATGTTTTGTTTTTGTTAGAGAACATGATTGGGAAAGGAGGACATGCGGAGGTATACAAAGGGGTTTTGGCTGATGGTGAGACGGTGGCGATCAAGAAGCTGATGAGTCACGCCAAGGAAGAAGAAGAAAGAGTGAGCGATTTCCTTTCAGAGCTTGGTATAATTGCACATGTAAACCACCCAAACGCAGCTCGGCTTCGCGGTTTCAGCAGTGATCGCGGTTTGCATTTTGTGCTTGAGTACTCTCCCCATGGCAGCCTTGCTTCTATGCTCTTTGGTATTCTTAAAGGCTTCTTTTTATTACTGAAAATCTTGTGTCTAGTATCTTTACTTAGACAATGTTGTGATCCTATCTCTTTGATCTATGTAGGATCAGAGGAGTGTCTTGAGTGGAAGATAAGGTACAAAGTGGCTCTAGGTATAGCTGATGGTCTGAGTTATCTTCACAATGCTTGTCCAAGACGGATCATTCACCGTGACATCAAAGCTTCTAACATATTGCTCAACCAAGATTATGAAGCTCAGGTAGATGATCTTTGACAACATCTCTCAACATTTTCTTGGTATTTGGTTGGTTTGAGAACCATGTGTGCCTCATTACAGATTTCGGATTTCGGACTTGCAAAATGGCTCCCAGAGAACTGGCCTCATCATGTTGTATTCCCCATCGAAGGCACATTCGGGTAAAAGAGAGAAAGCTTCTAAGTTTTGATGAACATCTTTGATGATCAATACTAAAAACCATGTTTCACTGGCCTTGTTCCTCTAGGTATCTAGCTCCAGAGTACTTTATGCACGGCATTGTTGATGAGAAGATAGATGTGTTTGCATTTGGGGTATTGCTTCTAGAGATCATAACTAGTCGCCGAGCTGTAGATACAGCAAGCAGGCAGAGCATTGTAGCATGGGTAATGCATCTAAAACTCTGCTATTTAGAGTCATCAAAGTTTCAGGTGGAGTTTTTTTGCTTACCTTTTTTTGGATTTGGTAATACAGGCAAAACCTTTTCTTGAGAAGAATAGCATGGAGGACATTGTGGATCCTCGGCTAGGAAATGAGTTTGATCCAACAGAGATGCAACGGGTGATGCTAGCAGCTTCAATGTGCATACATCATATAGCCGCTATGCGACCTGACATGATTCGGGTATGGTATCTAATCTTCCCATCTTCACCTAGAGGCTAGAGCCAAAAACCTGAACTTTGGTTCAACTACATAGAGCTTGTGTATCGGTTATAATGTGAAATCTTGTGCAGTTAGTGCAGCTGTTGCGTGGAGAAGACGGGCCATTTGAGCTGCAGCATAAGGCATGTGAAAGAACAGTGAGTGTGAATGCATGCGACCTACAAGATCACACCTCTTCCTCATACCTTAATGAACTCACCCGACATAGGCAACTCTTGATGGAGTGAGTAGAAGCAATCAAACCAACATAGTCCCTAATAACAGAGCCATCTACAGAAGAAACAAGAAGAGTTGTTTTATCTTCTTTCTTTTTAGATTTGTCTTTTTCTTAACTCAGTTTTGTGCTTGTTTATTCTCTCCATTGGTTGCGTTTTTCTCTTCAACCAAACTGTGAATATCTTGAACATGTGTCTTTTCTTATGTTGTTCTGCCGAACTTTGTTAGTCTCATCAACCTCGAAAGAGTTGTCAATTTGATTACCAAAGGGCTCATAAGTAGATATAGAACAACAACAACATCAACACTGAACTTTCTGAAAGATGGTTTTTTTCATAAATGGAAAACAGAGTACGCTAGGGATAAGCTGATAAGCCTTGTACATACAAAATATAAAAGAAACCACCACCACTCCCTAATTCCCAAAAACTACCATTTTCTCAACCTTTCTTAGATGCTTCCACATTTCACCCCCATCTACTCCTGCCTAAACAACAACGGTTAATCAAAACAAAAACATAAGTGAGATTTTTAGATTCTTCTAGTCAGCTTATGGGTTAGCCAGAATCAAGAAGTTGAAGAAGTTGTATCCCTTAAAAAACGATTAAAAACTTGCACTGATTAGGACAATCTTGACTGATTAAGAAGTTGGTTTTAGTAAGACGGATTAGGCCAAAGGAAGAACTCAGCCGGATTTGGCGCCATAAGTCCCATTGATCCCTGAACGTTCGAGTTGTTATTAGAGCCGGTTGAGTCAGAAGCTGCATTCGCAGGAAAATGCTGGAAAAAGTTCTGTTGTTGATGCTGCTGCTGTTGCTGCTGTTGTTGGTGATGGTAAAGGGCAGCTGCTTCAAAAGGGATTCCACATGGAATGATCTGTTGAGACTGAACCGCTGAGTTAGGACAAAGAGCGAAGTTAATGCTACTATGATTAGGAGATGACTGAAGCTGAAGCTGTTGCTGTTGCTGCTGTTGTTGTTGCTGCTGAAAATGGTGAAGTTGATGACCAAGGATTGGTTTCTGCTCTGATGAAGCAGCTTCTAAAGAGAGCTTAAGGCGTTTAGCTGCACCACCAATGGGAAGTGCACTCTTCATGATGGCTTCAACGTCGTAACGGTTCATCTCAAAGTTAGTTACAGCGTTTATTCCTCTGAATTTGATTGCTGCTATGTCGTAAGCCTCAGCAGCTTCCTCTTCCGTCGCTACAACAACACCACAACTCAACTTAATAACAACAGAAGATGATTATTAACTTATATCTTTTAAGACCAAGTTTGTTGATTTACTTACCAAAGGTACCAAGGTAAAGATCTTTGTTCCCGGCAACACGGCCGATCCTTGCTTGCCAACGTCCTTGTTGATGATGCCTTGTCACACCTCGGTATATCGAAGCTCCTCTAGAGAAACCGCTACTCTTCCTGTATTTTTAACCTCCAGTTACTATCAAAGAAACATATTTAAAAGTATCAATTAGATTCTGAAAAGATCTTGTTATTGAAACTTACCTCCTGAGGGAGGCAATGAACTCTTGCTTGGTCATGTGCTTCATTTCCTCCAATTCTTTCGAGTAATTCGTAATCTAAAAAAGCATGATTAGAATGGTTTAGTAAAGAGTGACCAATATTGTATAAACTAACCACAAACGGATACAAATCAGTAGAGGAGCATTTACAGGGAAATTGGTGGTGGCAGTAGCATTCCAGTATTTAAGAGCCGCTAAATCGTAAGCTCGAGCTGCCTTATCTTCTTTGTCATATCCACCTGAATCATTAACAAATTTAAGACACCATATATATACACATATTCAACATTATTTACATAGGGATAGATTGAGATGTTTGTTCTTCTTACCCAAGTATACTGTTGATGTAAAGCAGAGCCAAAATGCATCCCCATATAGAGTAGACATGCCAAAAAAAGAATACGAGACTTAGCCAAAGTTCAAAGTACGACGTTTAATTACTAGTTCTATTATGCAGAAAGATGATGCAGATAATGCTTAAGGCAAATTAGTTTGCCAACCATTATATTAAGTTAGTTACAAGAAAGTTTTTTTGAATATTGATACCAGTCTCTAATTAACACTCAGAAAGCAAAAGTGAGAGAATTTGAAAATAAAACAAAGAAAAAGAGAAGAGAAGTATTGGATGTGGTCAAACCCTAGATCCCCACTCTTGTTTGGTGCGTACTGGTAGCACAAAGCAAAAAAAACTATAAAATTAAAGCAAAAGCCACTGAGAATATTCAGACTTTGCTTTGTTGATGTGAACACTACACATAAATCAATCTGACACCTTATGGACAGAAGAAACACTAGAACCCAAACTCTGGAAACTTTCATTAATAATTTGAAAATCCCTGGTCTCTCTTCAGTGCAAGTAACACCATATATATTTTGCAACTCAAAATCAATCTCTAATCAACCTAAGTACTACTACTCTTCACTCTACTACCCCCCCCACAAGCTAAAAACTGATGAAAACAGTCCAATGGTCTCACATCACATGCCTGCATAACATCAAATCATATGTATATGTAGATATGCTAACACACTTAGAGATGTAGGTGAAGAGAGAAAAATGGGAGTAGGATTAGAGAGTCAAAGTGGGTCCAAAAACATGTCAATCAAGAAACAGAGATTGCATCATATAGGCAATGCCACGGGGACCCATCTAATGTACCTTTAGGCTTTAGTATGTGTAAGAGAGTGTGAAATGAAAGGAAAAGAAAAATGTAATAAAGACAAAAGAACAAAATGGCGGCACCCTTCTGCTAAATATATGAAATATCAACAACAACAACAACTACACTTATATTTTATACATATTTATCTCTTTACTTCTTTTTTCCAAGAGTCCTGACTCAAAAGTATTGTCAAGTTAAAAAAACTTTGGCTCCCCTTCACAAATGCAAATCACCCAAAGTTCTATCAATCATAATATAAAGATATAGACAGATCAATAGCAAAAAAGAAAAGAAAAAGGTAAAGCTTCTTTTGAATCTTGCATTCAATTTCTTTGTCCTACACTTCACTCTCTATATGCTCCTTAAACCCCACTTTGAGACATCACAAACCCGGTTTTTACGATCTAATGTATTTGACTTAGTGACATGAAAAAAAAACAGAAACTCAAATGACTAACTTAACACACAGAATGCAAATCTTGGTTTCAAGAAAGATTGTAATAGTGAAGAAAAAATATACCTTGTCGTCCTTTCCTGGCCTGACCTTCTCTCCTACAGCTATTATCCCATAGATGTGCTTCGTATCTTCCCGTCCATCTATGTCTGCATCAATCAAATATTATTTACATTATTACTTACACTTCAACTAAAAAACTCATAAACATCAATCATATCTTGAAGTCTTTGACCTTTAGTCAACAACAAAATTAAAATATTAACTTACCGAGTAACACCTCTGTAAATGGAAGTCCTTTGTCCGAACGTATCAGCAATCTTCTTGTTAGAACAATCCGATGTTTCAACAGCCACGATAGGCTTCTCCTTCTCAGAATCTGTCTTCTCGCTCTCGTTGTTGTTGCTGTTTCTGTCACCATTGTTGACACCTCGGTAATGATGATTAGTAGTAACCTGATTACTATCATTCTCATTACGGTGATTACTACTGTTAACATTGACACCGAGTGACAAAGCTCCACCATTGGCAGTGTTAGATCCACCGTGAAACCCTAGCTCCGGTCCGGAAGATTCAACGACGTGACCCAAATACTCTCCAGCAAGATGAGTCCTTCCGATTGAAGCAGAGTCATCGACCTCTGAACCGGAGTTCGTTGAGAAAGCGGTTTGAAAACCGGCCATGGTTTTGAAGTCGTGGTGATCGGAGTAGAACCCGGTTTGGTTGTGGTGGTTTTGGTTATGGTTTGGGTGGTGGTGGTGACGTGGATCGTAGATTTGGGTAAGAGAAGAGTCTTGTGTTTCGGTTTGACTGTTGTCCGAGTAACGAACGATGGACGAAGAGTCACCGAGAAAATCTTCGAGCTTAGGGATGTGACTCTGAGAATGATGAGACTGCGGGTCTACGAACGTTGTCAAGATTGTTGAATCGGCCATTGAAGCTGCTGCTAGCTGAGCTTCTTCTTTAAAAAACTCCTGTGGTTTTTGATTCGTCCAACCTAATAAAAAACCAGAATAAAGTAAACGGATTTAGATACATACGTACATACCCTCCAGATGATTGCAAAAAAAGCAAAATCGATTTTTTTTTTTTTTACTGGGGTTAAGATGAAAGAAAGAAAGATCACGAGAAGTATCTCTATTATTCCGTATGAGAAGAAATAAAAATTAGATTTTTATTATTATTTTCGTTTGCCTTTCTCGGGAAACAGACAAAGTCAGAGAGAAAAACACGAGGGAAGGGGAGGCTGAGTTCAGCAAACTTGATTATAGCTAGGGGGGGATAAGCTACTAGCACAAGTCGGTTACTACTCAGAGAGAGTTTATAGTCTTTACACAGGAGCATGTACTGTTAAACATCAAACACAATCATTCGTATAGTTCGTACCAATACGCAAAGAAAAAAAAAGGAATGAAATTTTTGGTTGGATGGAGAGAGATAGAGAAGGGAGAAGAAAAGGGTACCATAGAAATTATCGAGGAGATAAGGAGAAGAGGAAGCGGCGGAAGAAGCGTCATAGGAGACGAACTGAGACTGATCAGATGACCTCAACATCTCCATTGGTGACAGAGAAAACGTTAACCAGTTCGTCATCGGAGCCATCAAGTTTCTTTCTTTCTCTTTTTTTTTTTATATTCTTTTCTCTCTCTCTCTCTTTCTTGTTTCTTCTTCTTCTTCTTCTTCTTTGGTAAATCTCTGATGAGATTATAATTTTATATAAAGTAAAAAAGAAGAAGAGGATTAGAAGAGAATGGGAACGCCTACAAAATTCTAACTGCAGAAAAAGACAAAAGAAGATTTAAGAAGAAACCCAGAAATAAAGGTTGGTTTATTTTTTTTTCCTTTTTCTGGTGTATAAAAGTACAAACCTGATTGACTGATTAAGAAGCGTTACACTAGTATAAGCTTTGAGTAGTTAAGCATTTGTGTGGACGAAGACGAACAAGGAAACGATAATCACGAGGTGCTTTTTTTTGTATCTCTATTGCATGTGTTTTTGGATAAAAGTAAAAGAGATCAAGAGAGCAAACGCATGTAAACTAACTGGGTTGTGTCTGATGAGATTTGAATGAAGTTTGTATATAAAAAAAAAAGAGAAGCTGAAGCAGAAGCTCTTTATGGAACGTCTGAGACGTATACTTATAAAGAAAATTATATAAAGTATTTTATTTGTTTTAAAAATATATATAAAAGTTGCAGTAGAGAGAGAGAATGTGCATGTAAGAGAGATAGGAGAGAGAGAGAGTACAAAAAAAAAAAAAAAAGTAGAAGCGGTTTCTTCTGTGTCGTCCGGCGTAATACCGGAGGGGATTTTAGAGAGAGCGATATGTATGTGTATTTTTTTTACTCATTAGCTTTAGCTTTTTGCGAATTATTTTACTCTTTTTTGATATGACTAACATTATAAGACGTATCTTACTTAATTCGTTTTGTAAATTGTAATAAACAGTTTCACAAAAATAATTTGGTTCTATGCCATCTTGTCCGACTCATGCATGACCTTTGACTACATTTCTTTCTATTCACTGTAAAATTTCCTAGTAATTTCCAAATTTTTTATAAGTACTAATTATTATTTTTTGGAACTTTTTTAAGTTGGACAACAAAAGAATTTTGCTTGTTGGAATTTTTATAATTGCGTTTTTTTGGATTGTGAATTCCAAACATATTCATGCATCATTTTTATTTTTTTTTAATTATTGGTGTAAACATTTTTCCTTTAAACGAATGCGTGACGCCTGACCATATAGTTTCGCATCTATCGAAATTCGAACATTAGAACGTATCAAATGAATTTAAGAAAACAAAATATGGATGTCCTAAACAATCTTTAATTTATGGTGCATGCACGAAAACTTCTTGAATTCGAGCTATAGAAGATTTTTATAAATATGCGCATCAATGATTATGGGGGAAAGAAACTACTTGTTTGATTAGGAGTACTCTACTTATCATTTAACGGTTGTATTCTTCCCAAAAAGGTTGTATTCTTATGATCGAGAAACATCCCATATCATCTCAATTTCGGATCAGGGATTCTCTTATGATTGTTCAAGCGGATTCATATAGAAGCAAGTGTTTAGCCAAATACTTGTATTATTATTTTATTTTTTTGTATGTTGATTATTATGATTTTGTTTTACATGTGAAATTTTTTTCTATGTCCACTATATATATGATAATTCTTAACACGGTTTTATGGAAAATGTTTGTACTTATGTTTACTGGAAAAGAATAACAATCACCAAAACGTTTATCGAATGAACACCAAAACACACGAGTACTAGTGTTCTACTGCGTTCTAAATTTTTATACTATTGACTTTGATGGTTGGCAAAAACCCGTCAAACTGGTGTTTACAGATTGAAACATTAAAATAAATCACGAAATTTTCATCAAAAAAGTTTGAATAAAAAGCTAAAAGAATGGATTTGTAAAAAAAGTAAACGTACTACTATTATTAATAGAGTGGGAATATTATTTTCGCGTTTGATTCTATGTTATTTGATTTCGCATATATTATGTACTAAAGATATTAAATCCTTAGTATTCTTTGTTTCAAATAGACTACCAATCTATATTAGATATGGAAAAAGAAAAAGAAAACAAATGTTTTAGCCGTGGAGGTGACTTTTTTAATAGCACTGCGGAGGAGAAATGTTGTCTACATAGAACAACAAAGCTCGCAAAAGATCTGGGAGGCTATAATACTGAAATTTACAAAGTTACCCCTAAAATCCAAACCAAACCAAACCACTAGTTGTATCCACGCTCTCCACTTGTCGTACATGCAAATTGTATTCTCCTCCTAATCTCCTACCCAATCTCTTCTTCTTTTTTTCAACCCACCCAACCTGATTTTACTCTTCCGGGTCGGGTTTTCTTTCCTTTTTTAATACTCAGGCTACGTCTTTTATTTTACAGTTTAACCCCCCCCCCCTCCCCTCTCTAGTTATTATTTTTTCATATTTTTGAGTTCTCTTCTTTCTGAAATTGTCACGTAACAAAATGAATACACTTGCATGATGACTGAAAAAAGAAAAACACTGTATATATTATAAATGAAAGCCTCACAACCTAAAACTTTTATACTATAGAAATGTAATATGGTATGCAAAAAGTAAAGTTTTTGAAGAGGGTAATAGAGTACGTAGATAGCTTAGATACACCTTTTGGGTCAAAGATAAACGGTCAAGTCCCCCATGGTTAAATTAATATTGGGCCGCGGTTAAACAACATTTTCTTGCATACTGTCTGTATATAGCCAAACTAAAACAAAAATAACAAATCACAAACTTTAATTATTACTATAACTATATACTAGTTAATAGGTATAATGGTGAAGAAGAAGTTGAGAGTTCGAGAAACAAAAAAAAAAACAAAAAAAGGCTTGTGGGGAACAACCCGCCAGATGAGGAGGCGGGTTTCCTCTGTAAATAACGAAGCAAAATAAAAAGTAATTATTTTAAGGAGAGAAGAAAAAAAGTAAGGTCCAGCAATTAAGGCACGTGATTAGGGCTTTCATGTCGTATTATTTTATATCTTTAGAGCATTCGTATCCTATACTTCTACTTTATTCAACCTTCATCATCATTTTATATTTTTAGTATATAGTTTTGTATCTTTTGAGAAATTTTATAAGAAAACCTATTTATGTTTTGTTTTCAAGATATTTTATCTACTGTCCCCTTGAGACCTTAAACAAATATCTACACCCGTCTTTTAGATAAATGAAGTGTTGTTTAACCGCGTTTACTAATTTTCCAAAAATGCCTATACAAACGCAATCAAACAATCAAAACTTTATTAAGGTACTTAATCAAGCGTAGTACAACCCAAAGCAATATTCAAAAGATTCTTTGTATTTTCTTGTATGGACATGTATGATTATATACACCAGTTGATTAATTTGTTTTCATCTCTTTTTTTTTTTTTTTTTTAATTTGTTTTCATCTCTATGTCATATATATACGAAACATCTTCAAATGTCATATATATACGAAACATCTTCAAATGTGTATGTATTAATCATTACCATACGTAACAGTTACAGCACCAACTTTGCAAGTTTTAAGCTTGAAACAAGTATATGTCGATTTAAAGTTTTTTTGATTAATGCATTCGATATTAGATCGTCTTAGACATAAGAATGAGTGAACGTTGATAGAGATACGCGTATCTAAATACAATTTAACATCTATTTTTCTTATGGACGTGTGTGATACTCGGTCCACCGATATGGAAACACACAAGTTTGGTCGAGTCGCTTTATATGCGAACGTGAACCAGCATGCCTAAGGATAAGCGGACACGACAACGAGAGAAGTATCATGTCCGTTGACCGATGGGTTGACCATCATATGGATTGTTGGCATGCTGATGATGGATTTGGACTGATTACGAATGCATCTGTTGTTGGGTAATTTCACATTAGAATTCTTCCAAACGTTATATCTCACTTCTGTTTAGAAGTTTTTTATATATATATTCTTATACCATTTGCTTGTAAAATTGGAGAAACTCATGTAGTTGGATTTTATTTATTATACTTTTCAAGAAAAAATATTATCGTTTTAGAATATTCTTTTCAAATCCTACCGTCAATTTAAATATGCTGAAAGTGATAATGTGCTTAATTTAAAATGATTAAAACATGATAAAAGCATTTTACTCAGTGATCCTTTGACAAAAAATAGTTGATGGTCAATCAAGAATATGAGAAACTATATAATGTAGACGAATATAATAACATAAACCGTAAATCAGAGATTGTCGTTCATACGCAAACGTAGAAGTCAGTTCACAAAAAGAAAGAAAGAAAGAATACGTTAAAATTGTGCGATATCATATTCATATATGACCATGAGATCATGGGTGTTTCTGTTTTAAAAAAATTCAATCGGGTCGGGGGGACGTGTGGCCTCTCGTTAGGGTTGTGGCCAGAATGACGTGGCTTTTCTAGTCATTAACAGAGGTATTGGTGATACATTCATTTTAAAAATACTCTAAACATTTATACTTGCTTAGCTTGTTATTGTCCTTATACTCAACTCCAAGTTTTATTCATTTTTAAAATAGTTATATTCTCTAATTATTTGGCTCTTTGGAAGACTTTGCTTTAAAATCTCTCCTAATTGCATGTGAAATCACACGTGGGGATGGTCACACCTGCCCCTTTTGTATCGAATGTAAACCCTCACTGACGATACAATTACAAGCTCCAAGCCTCCAACTTATTATAACATAATACTATATACTAATCTTATTGGAACATCCAACACATGTATATATAGTATACAACTCTTTCGCAAATAATCCTGTATAAATTTACAAAGAGCCACGTCATCATACGTGGCTGAATCTAGCAACTTGAGAGGATAAAGCCATCCTCATTGCATAGGTCCTTATACAAATTTTAACCTAAGATTTGTGTAAAAACCTATGCAATGAGGATTTTTCTTCACAAATCTTAGCTTAAGATTTGTGTAAAAACCTATGCAATGAGGATGGTATAAAGCACATGCTTCCACATTAGCTTCCTATTTTCCCACTTTCGAATCACAATATCATATGATATTATTCTATCACACGTAAGTAGAGTAGTTGTTTACATCAATATATATATGTATAATCAGATTTTTGTTAAAATTGACCAAATATATTCTATTTGTGTTGGTGGATTAAGTGATATTATCATTATGGATTCCGTATTTACATTATGTTTTTAAAACATAAACTCCAAGATATCTTTTGCTTAAATGTTTAGTGACAGTTGCAGACGGTCTTTAATGAGTATGATCTTACAATAATTTGGATAAAACATTTTATCCTCAATCATTGACAAATACATGCATGCAAAATATATTTACAATCCAGAATATGCAACTTACAGTTCGATCATGATTTTATAATTTAAGGAACAATTATACCATTGATAACATATTGAATCATCATTGTTTTTGATAAAGAAAATGAATTCATCACTTTATAAGAATTAGAATATATAACCCTCCAATAGTAAAAAAAAAAAAAACATACCCTTAATTATATATCCATATAGTAAAAAAATAAAAAGTAGAGAAGGATTAAAAGCCATGATAATAGTTTATATGGAGTTCAGATTTATACATAAAAGAAGTAGAGGTGTGAATAAATAATGTGAACAAAAAACCTTAAAGATCTTTTTGAGTATTATTGAAATAGTTAATTTAGCTCGTAAAAGAGTCTTTTACCAACACATACTCTCCTAATCATCATCCTTATCTTGGATTCCCAGATTTCATTTTTAGAAATTAATGCAAATAATCTAATGTTGTTTATATTAAATACTAATTTTGGGGAGGTCCAATATAAACTAGTGGTAAGTGTATCAGTTTGCTTTTGACCTTTGACCGAGGAGGCACGTGCGCAGCATCTTTTGATATTCATGGTCGAAGATTTCGGTGTTGCACGTGCGACCCTGTCCTCCTTTCTATTATCTTAATCTCTCATCTTTTGTCTTAATCTCCTTAACTAAAACCTTCTCTTTAATTCTTTTTGTTCCTCCCCAAAAATATCACCTTCTTATAATATTTGCACTTTAACCTTTCTCTTTTATTTTTTTTTTAAAATATTTAGGATGTTTTGGTTGTATTAGGCAAACTAGTAGGGGCAAAGACCCAAATTAGCATTGGAACAATATATGAAAATGTATATACATCTACATTTTAAATGGTGGAGGTTTTAATTATATTTTATTCTAAAAATGTATGAAAGAAACTCTTATGATCAGGTTTATAAACTGTATTATGTACATGGTGTAATTGTGTCTAAGAATTTTTAGAATTTCTTGTAACAGCAAGTTTTTGAAAGATGTAAATAGTGCTATATAAACTCAACATTGGTTACATAATAGCTTAACCTTAGACACATATAATCGACAAAGCGAAAAGCATAAACATATAAATATTTTATTTTCTGACAGTAACTCCGTGTTTGAAGGGTAATTTTACCCACTTGGGGGTAATGATGTTTACACTTTGCACACTTCTTTAAAATTCTTATTATGTGTACCATAGAATGACGAGTTGATTAAAAAAAAATTTGGGTACAATCACTGATTAAATTAGTAATACAATTAGGTTAGATAGACGTTAAAAAACAATAATAGTTTAATAATTTAGTTAATAGTGACAAAAGCTTTGATAATTTTTATTTCTTTCTTTTACAGCAAAGATCACGAAGAAGATGTGTGAAATTGTCCCTTAGTCAAACAAAACAGCCGTGAACAGCTTAGCTTAGACTTATTATGCGATTCTGCTAGCTGTAAAATAGTTAATAGTCTAAGAAAGTCATTTGTATGTTTTATTATACCTAATAAAAAGTAACAAAATAAAGTAATTGCCAAGCTTAACCAATAGTATTAATATTATAACTTACCAAGAAACGTTTATATTTCTTTTTGTCTATTTTAGACCTAATAAAGAATTAATAATCAGATTCAAAGTAAGTTTTGTCTTGACGTTTTGGTACAATACTTTGCTCTGAAGTCACTGTTTGAAAGCTTTTGTCATCTTTTTTTTTTTTTTTCTTTTTTGTAAATTTGAATCTTTTTACCGTATCTGTTGGACCTGCAAATAACAGCAATATGAAGAAAAAAAATGGAAAACAGGCCTTTTAATGAGATGTTGAAGGATCCAGCTAGCAAAGTTATCAAAATCTCAAAGGCAAGCCCACGTTTTTGTTTTGCATTAGACCCTAGTGAAATGAGCAAAGGAGCAAACACATGCTTCTGTTCCAAGATTGAGTCAAAATGAAAAGATTTAAATTTCATCAACACATTTTTGGTTTAGTAGTAGTGGTAGTACATGGAAATACGTTCTATGAAGCAGTAGGCTTCTTCTTATACAATGAAGGTTGAATACAAGAGAAAATGGATAGTCTTTGCTTCTTTGGTTTTATATCAAATATAAATGACCTCAAAGGTATACGGGTTTTGCGATCTTGCCAAGATTGTGCGTTTGATTCAGACAGTGAAAACTCCTCAGTCAGTTTCTCGAGTGTCGTATCAGCATCCTTCTTAAGTTTTGTAACTTGATCCAAACCCGTTTGCAGCTCTTCTGCTATCCTATTGTTCTCCTTTGTCATGTTCGATACCTCGCCTTCGAATTTAGCTCCTTGGTAGATTGTGAGTTTCATTTTAGAGTCTTCAGAATCTGTTCTGAGAGCTTCTGTTATTTCATTTTGTATGTCACTCAAAGTTGAAGCTCTGATGTTGATTTCTTCTTTTAGAAGCAAACCCTTCTCTAACCAAACAGTCATTTTGGTGCGGATCTCACTGAGGTGTTTGTATATGGGACGAACATCTGATTTGAGAGTGTTTCTTCCTCCATCCTGATTCTTTTGTTTTATGATCTTCAGTATCTCAACATGCAAGTCCTTGATTCCTGTATCAAACTGTTGTATCTGACCAAAGGAGTTGCTAAACCTCACCAACAGGTTCAAATTCTCGCTTAGTAATGCATCAACTCGTGCTCCGAATTGCTCTCCATTTGGTGATTGCCTCTGATTTTTACCAGTTAACGCATTTGCAGCATCATCCTCTCTGCACATTAGCATGAACAGTTTGTCCCGTTGTTGATCCTTGGGTCTGACCTGTTCATCTTTCACGGTGTTTACACTCTTGAGTTTTGTCTCAGCTTCATCTAACATCTTCTTGACTTCCTTATAGTTCCGAAGTACTTTTGTGTATTCGGTTAACAAATGTTTCTCTCTGCCTTCTATCCCATGTGCTAGCAACTGCTGCAAGAACGCCTCATCAGACTCTTGTGTTGTTCTGACGTCTGATTTTGGTGATGAGACAGAGATATGTTTCTCTAAATCATATAATGCAGCTTCCTTTCTTGTAGCTTCAATTTTCTCTTCTTGGTTAACTTCATCTGTGTGATCTTTTTCAGTATTAATCATTCTAGATGCTGAGTTCATGTTTGAAATATTTTCAGACACAACTGAGTCATCAGTTTTTTCTTCCAAAAGTTTTGTACCAGTCAAAGATCCTGCTTCTTGTATTGTCACATTAGTAATATCCTTGTCTTCTTCTCCTTCTTGCTTCAAGCTTTTTAATTTCTTTGATAAGAAACTTAGTTTTAAATGTGCCTGCGTAAGGTGTATTTCAATCTTCTTACTCTTTTGTTCAACTTCTTGGTCCATGTGTTTAATACACTCTAGCTTTTCCTCCATCTCTCTCAGCTTTTTCTGTATGACCATATCTTCATCAGTTTGAGATGAATCGTTTTCTTTTTGCAGAGATTTAATCTGTGCTTTGAGATCATCAATTTCTTCCCTTAGTCTGTGTATTAAAGCTGCTTGAGAGGAGAACAAGCTCTCCAAATTAATCACATCATTCACAAGCTCATCGATCTTATCAGCCACATCTGTTATGGTAAGACATGACTTAGCCTCAAAGTCATCAAACTCTTTATTTACCTTTTCTCCTAATGATTCCAACTTCTCCTTATCATTGTATATTTCTTGTTTTCTTTCTCCATCACCAAGCAATGCATCAGAAAGATTACTAAATTCCTCTGTTGATTCTCTGATCTGTTCTCTTGTAATCTCTGATTCTTTCACATTATTTTCTTGTTTATCTCTCAGCTCTTCTAGTTTCTCTTGGCATGATTTGAGAGCTGAGGTGGACATCAACATCTGAGCTTCTTCATCTTCTATAACAACAGCACCTTCGTCAAACTCGTCCTGCAAACTACAAACCCTCCCTTGTTTCTCCATGATATATTTCTCAATCTCCCAATATTTTGCAAGTCCAGCCTCATAAGCACTCTTCACAAACTCTTTCTCAGTCTGCAAAACAAGAATCTCTTTCTGAAACTTGTCAATCTCATCCACCGCCTCGGTTTTACTCAGGCCGGACTTGTTAACAACGGACGTGGCGTTCTGTTCTTGAATAGCTTTCCTTGAAATGAACATTTTTTTAGCAGCCTCAGGATCTCTTACGGGGAAATCAGGAACCTTTGGAACATTTTGGTTTGATGCATGGGTTTTATGTTTTCTAGGTGAGATAGGAGCATCGTCGTCGTCGTCTTCGTTCATTGCAAACTCAGGGACTTGTTCAGGGAAAACAGATGCAATTGTGGTGTTAGCGTTTTGAAGCTCTTTGGAAATATGATCATACCGTTCAGCTAAAGCACGGTAAGCCTTGAAAGATTCTTCCACAAAACTTATCAATTCAGGCCTTCTCTTGTAATACATTTCTGCACGCTTAGCAAACGAATCACCTTCATCTTCCAAAAGCTTAAGTGCGTATTGCACCTTCTCCTCGATGTCTACATAATTAAACATAATTTAATCTATAAACAAAATTGTAACATGGAAAAAAGTGAATAATCTAGGGAATGTGTATAAACGTAATGTTGCCTTGAAGATTTTCTTCGAGCCATTTGGATTGTTTGGTTCGAACGTGGCTTGCCCACCACCATGAGTACGCATTGCTCGCAGCTCTTCGTAGCATCCTTTTCTTTATTTTCCAATTAATACATTGAACAAAATCTCAATTCTTGCCTTAATATTTTGTTTTATGGAGTTTTCGTTCAGGACAACCAAATTAGGAGATGTGTATTTGTTGTTGTTGTTGTTGTTGTTGTAAATCTTGTTTTGATAGAGGATGGCGGAGAGGAAGATTCGGCGCCTGAAGGTGGTGGTGATGCATAGTAATCATGATAAGTTGCTATTTAAAACACATGCAACGTTGGATCTGAACAGTCCAAAGCACAATGTTTGTTGATACTCATAGTCATTCATACAAAACAAGAAAAGTCACCAAAAGCTAGCTAACCACAAATATTTGTTTATTTGCATTTTTTTTCTTGCCTTTTGTTTTTTGTTTATTTTTCTATTTTAAGGTTATTTGATTGAGAGACAAATCATAGAACATAGATGGTCCTAAGATAACAACAGACAGTGGAAAAGGAAAGGAAACATACCATTGATATGTTCTTTCAAATTGACACTAAATTTTGTTTTTCCTTTCTAAATTTGTTCCCATGCATATTTCTTACCAATTATAAACCATTCAAATAAACATGTATGTAAGTTACATAACTTAAATTAAATAGGAACATGTTAAACTCCTAACAAAAAGAGAAGTGAAGAGCATATATATATATGTGATGGAGGATGTTTTTGTAAATAATTATGCTGAAGAATCATTTAAATACGAATCTGTTCGCCGCACGAGTCTGACGTGTTAAACTACGTGGCAATTTGTTGACCACTTTCAACTTAACCCGGAACGTTGCTCATTACGAAACGGCACCGTATGTTTTTGTCTGCGAATTTGCGAATCCCCCTTTGTCCCGTCTTCTTCCTTGAAGAAGCTTGATTGAAACCCTAAACTTTTGTCTGTTCCTTCGATTTTTCTGATTCTGGGGTATGTTTTTCTTGCGTCTCTCGCTATGTTCTTGTTCCTTTACCTAGTCTTTCGATTGTAAACTCCGATTTTGGGTTTATTGCCTTTAGTCTGATTTTTAGGAATCTAGGTATGTAAATTCTGATTTCGAATGTTTCCTCGAGATGTGATTAGCTGCTTTAATTTCAGTTGAGTTGGGGGATTGTGATCAGACTTGTATATTTTAGGTTTCTCGTAATGAATTTGGGACGCTGATTGAGTTGAATTGTCTTGTGTTTTCGTTTGTTCTCAGTTCAGTAAGTTGCAGAATTTCTTAGTATTGCCAGGAATCTTTCCATCTCACGTAGCTATACTTTTACTGGAATTGTTATTTTCTGCATAGGCATGTGTTTAAATGGTGTCCTTCATCTCTATGGTGCAGGGTTTGTGTTGGCATTCATTGAGTTCTTTCTGTTATGCTGTGAGGCTTATGATCGGTGCTACCTAAAGCTGTTGGTTAACACATTCACTCTGCTCAGACTATGGCCCTTTATGGTACGTTGCAGTTGTCCCATGGTATGGGACTTTGCAGAAACCAGGGGTGTTATTATAAGCCAGAATATGTACGTTTCTTCCATTTCAGCCCTTGAATCCTTTTCTTTTAATTCATTTCTTCCTTTCTGTCTCTCTAAATATGTGCTTGTTTTTAGAGTGTCATGAGAAGGAGGCTGCATATATCTAAGGGTCCTCTCTCATTAGGCGTTCCAGTAATATTTCAACTAAAACTTACTCTAGTCAGTCAACTTTTCTGTTTGCTGATATTTAGTAACATATTACTTTTTGTATACAGTTGGGCCAACATGGTTTCAGCAATGTTTTACTATCGGATTACCTTCGTAGGCCTATTTGTTCAGTTCCATTAAGAACCACCGCTTTTAGGTGTCATTCCTTTTCTGTAGGTGGCAACGCAGTTGAACCTGCTGTTAAAGCTGTTACTGTGGTGCTAACAAAGTAAGTTTTCTTGTTTCCTATCATCACATGCAGAATGATCACCTTGGAAGATTGTGAAATGTAGTTTCAATTTAATTGATCTTTGTAGAATTTTGAAGGATTGCATAGTAAAATCTTGGGGCACCTAACTTACAATAAAATTAGCAGCGCACTGATGTGTGCATGCCTTGTCATGTCCATCGATCCCCTTAGGACATTTGTAGTTTATGTTTTTGGTAATTTCACTCCGTGGTTTGCAGGTCACACGGGTTGATACAACAATTTCCTTTTGTTTATAAGTTGGTTCCAGCTGTTGCTCTTCTTGTTTTCTCCCTGTGGGGTTTAGTGCCTTTTGTTCGTCAAGGAAGAAACCTATTACTCAATGTAGGTGCAGCCATTCAAGTTTATATGCACTGGTTTTATCTTTTTTTTGGTTAACTGCTTTCACTTATGTGTTGTCTCAGTTCAAATCATTTTGGTGCCTTTTGTATATGATATTCTGAATCTTTACCTCTGAATCATTGTAGAAAAATGATAACGGTTGGAAGAAGAGTGGTACGTACCATGTTATGACTTCGTATGTTCAACCTTTGCTACTATGGTTAGGAGCTTTATTCATCTGCAGGTATATCTATTAAATAGTTCCTTGGGTCTCTTTGACGTTCATTTGTTGAGAAATTTCCATTATATCCTCATCTAAAGTGCTTTATTGAGATTATTGACAGATGGTGACTATTCCTTATACAGGGCATTAGATCCGGTTGTCCTTCCTACAGAAGCTAGCAAAATTGTAAAAGATCGACTTTTGAATTTTGTGAGGTCACTGTCAACGGTTCTTGCATTTGCTTACTGCATCTCCAGGTAAGCGTACTGTCTCTTTGAATACAATACCATGTCTTCGTGTTATGTTTTTGTATTTTAGTGCCTTCTATCACGTGAAATTGTTATGTGGTAACTGTAGTCATCTCATGACTTCTGATTCTTGTTAGATGTTCCCATGCAGTCTTATCCAACAAACACAAAAGCTCTTCTCAGAAACAAGTAATCCGAGCGATACAAGAAATGTATGTAAAGTAACACTCATAAAACATGCTTTAATAGTCTTTTCTGTAGAGTTATTAGTCTTAGGATGTTTGGTCTATCTTTCATATTTGAAACCTCTATCAAAAGTTCCCAATTTGTTTGACTAATTTGCCCCTGAAATGGTACAGATGGGATTTCAATTTGCTGGGAAAGCAGTTTATTCTGCTGTATGGGTTGCTGCTGTATCACTTTTCATGGAGTTGCTGGGTTTCTCTACACAAAAATGGCTCACTGCTGGAGGTCTCGGGACAGTTTTGATTACTCTTGCTGGGCGAGAGGTGAAACCTGACTCTCATTTAATTTCTGGGTTCTTCGGGATATTTACTTTTCACTTTGGATGTTTCTTTTCCCTATTTATGCAAAAGATATTTCATAAATACTGAGTTTTCATTATTTTGTCCAGATTTTGACAAACTTTCTTTCAAGTGTTATGATTCATGCAACCCGGCCATTTGTTTTGAATGAGTGGATTCAAACGAAGATAGAAGGTTATGAAGTTTCTGGTACTGTGGAGGTTAGTATTATAATCTCTGAGCTTAGATATTGTGACATTTCCTTGCATGTCATTGCTATACCCGAATATTTATGTAAGACTAGCTAGCTAACATTCTGAAATGCTTGTTGCAATGCATTTACAGCATGTTGGTTGGTGGTCACCAACAATCATTAGAGGTGAAGACCGCGAGGCAATCCACATCCCAAACCATAAGTTCACAGTCAATGTCGTGAGAAACCTTACTCAGAAAACTCATTGGCGTATCAAAACTCACCTAGCAATCAGTCACTTGGATGTCAACAAAATAAATGTGCGTTTTCTAATTCCCTTATGGTCGTTAATCCTTAAAAAATATAAGTGCCAATCATGGAGTTCTTTTAGCTGATCCTTGTTCGGAACTTCCCCAAACAGAATATTGTAGCTGACATGCGGAAAGTATTGGCCAAGAATCCTATGGTTGAGCAGCAGAGGTTACATAGAAGGGTATTCTTGGAGAATGTCATTCCAGAAAACCAGGCCCTCTCGGTTAGACTTAAATACATATATCTTCTTTTGCACCACCTTAAAGTGGTGATCAGATATTTCAAGAAACTTTGGACGGTCCGGTTCTTACATCTGGTTCTCGTTTTTACAGATACTGATCTCTTGCTTTGTGAAGACATCTCATCACGAAGAATACTTGGGTGTAAAGGTAAATTTCAAGTCTTTTATCTTATCATCTATCTACGTAAGAGGTTCACAGGAACCATTGACTTTATTGCTTTTGTTTTCTTGTATTGGCGTAACAGGAAGCTATATTGATGGACCTTCTAAGAGTCATAAGCCACCACCGAGCACGTCTAGCCACACCAATTCGTACGATCCGTAAAATGTACACAGATGCTGACTTGGAAAATGCACCATTTGGGGAATCGATGTATGGACCTGGAGGTGTTGGTTCTCGGCGTCCGTTGATGCTAATAGAACCCTCTTACAAAATTAATGGAGAAGAAAAATCAAAATCTCAAAACCGTGCATCAAAACCAACGGCAGAGCAAGAAAATAAGGATTCGGGTCCAAAGTCAAAAGAAACGTCTCCTCCTGACCTAAAGGAGAACGCAAAAGCTGTAGAATTGCCTGTTTCGGATACCAACAAAGTACCTGATGAACCAGTAGCAAAGCCAGGAATCAAAGCGGTCTCTAAACCGACGACTTCCCCCAAGGATACAGAAACATCAGGAGCCGAGAAAGCAAAGGCAAAGAGAAGTGGTAGCACAATAAAGTCACCAAAGACCGATGAAACAGATGGTACATCATCAGCGTCTAGATCAGCTTTGGAAGAGAATATAGTACTGGGTGTTGCACTAGAAGGCTCAAAGAGAACACTTCCAATCGAAGAAGAGATACATTCTTCTTCCACGGAAACAGATAGTAAAGAACTCACTGGGGCTCGCAGATCTGGTGGGAATGGACCATTGGTGGTTGATAAGGAACATAAAGATGGCAAATCTCAACCAAGCTCGGGTGCTTCGAGCGAGCAGTGAGATGAATTCAAAGTGTTAGCTATTTTTTTTAACACTCTTTGATGTAATACACGATCGAAATTAATTGATTTTTAATGATTTCCCTCCCACAATTCTGGAAGTTGGGGGTTGATGTTATTTATATAATTTAATATCGGGGTCGTTTCGTTAGAGTTGGGTGAAGTTATGGGTTTAAATAATAAATATCCGAAGAAGACGGTTGAGAAGTAGCTTACCTGTCTCTCTCTATACATGATGTAATTCATAAATGCTTCTCCTCCGATCTCTCCGCCATAAAAGCCTACTCTTTCTTCTTCGTCTGAGTGTTGGAAGAATCTTTCTCGATTAGTCATTTTCCATGGCGGGCTTTCTCTCCGTCGTCCGGCGTGTGTACCTCACTCTCTACAACTGGATCGTCTTTGCTGGATGGCAAGTCCAACTCAACTCTCTTCACTCTTGTCTCTCCCCCTTGAGTTTTGTTTTTTCTATCGGAATTGATTTTTTGTAATTTGGTGACATTTTGGGGTTTAGGGCTCAAGTTCTGTACTTTGCAATAAAGACTTTGTCGGAAACGGGATATGAAGATGTCTATGACGCCATTGAGAAGCCTCTCCAGCTTGCTCAGACTGCCGCCGTTCTCGAGGTTCGAATCCCATGAATATGAATATTTGTGTTTATATTTTTGCATTTTCCGGTAATTAGAGAATACGAATGTTTTGCTGCAACTGCTCGTTTCTTCCTCTGCTTGATTTTGCCTGATTCAAATCTGAATTTTGGAATTTTTCCGGGTTTGGAGCAGATTCTTCATGGATTAGTAGGTGAGTGATCTGATCCATTACACTTCTTTTCAAACTTGCATTACTCCGTCTTGATAAAAATTCTCAAGACCATTGCCTGATTTGTGTTCTGCTGTGTTTCTAAACTCGAATAGGTTTGGTTAGATCTCCTGTTTCTGCAACTCTGCCACAGATAGGTTCAAGGCTATTTCTCACTTGGGGCATCCTTTACAGTTTTCCAGAGGTTACTTAGAAAGTTACCTGCATTTCGAGTTCATTATTTCTCTGGGATTGTTGCAAGTTTCATCATTTGATCGTTTGAATTATGTTCCTTTGAATTGCAGGTCAGATCTCATTTCTTGGTCACATCACTTGTCATAAGCTGGTCCATCACAGAGGTGATTAATTCTAATCTTCGTTCTGAATTTGTTATAACCATTGAGTATCATTTTTAGTAACAGAGATATACCACTTTCATTGTATGTCTTGAATCTGATAAGTTACCTGTCACATGTATTGTTGAAGTACAGACCAAGAGATTCGCTGTTATTATTTCTGGCAGTCAAGATTTGACTTAAATTTTACTCTTTGAAATAACAATTACACCTTACAGATCATTTCTTACCCTTTACTCCATTTTGGTTGAAGTCTTATCCTAGTAGATTCCTTTTAGGATCATGTGTTTTAGTTCATATCTTTGATGAATATTTGACTCAGAGGTGCATAAAATTTGTATATTTACTTACTCTTGCAGATCATTCGCTACTCCTTTTTTGGCTTTAAGGAAGCTCTAGGCTTTGCTCCTTCATGGCACTTGTGGCTCAGGTATGCCATTCATGTGCAATATTATACACATTGAAAGATAGATTAATCTGAAAGTCTCATCTAATTTATTTTTTCTCTCGTCAATCTTTTCAGATACAGCAGCTTTTTGTTGCTATACCCTACCGGTATCACCAGTGAAGTTGGTCTTATCTACCTTGCCTTACCACATATCAAGGTAACACAACTCGCTCATGTCAATTTTTGAAAAAGAGGGAAAACCTTATTTGAACCATGAAGCCTTGTTATATGTACCCTTCGTATGTGCTAGATTTCTTTGAATACCAATGAATTCACTTATTCCCATGGGCAGTGTCGCTTGAGTCTTGTATATCGACTGTACAAAGATTATAGTATTATACAGAACTTAGTATGAGTAAGCTAGGTTAAATTGTTGAAGGTGGTAGCCTGAACCTGAATCCTTGCATCCATCATTTGTGTATTCGAATTTAGAGTTCTTAGAGTAGGAGGTTAAATACTTCACTGTAAGATCTTCCATAGATAAACTTAACTTTGATGGCGAGTTTAAAGTTATGGATTCTGTTCCACTGGTTTTAGGGGAAAGTAAAGATGGTTGATTCCTGAATGGTCAATTTCGCCCTCTTCTTTATTTTTCTGCAGACATCGGAGATGTACAGCGTAAGGATGCCTAACACGTTGAACTTCTCATTCGACTACTTCTATGCAGCAATAGTTGTCCTTGCAATATATGTCCCAGGCACGAACCCAATTGACCTTTTCTCAAGAACATATGACATGTACCTGTTTTGATCCACAACTAATTTTGTCTTTCTTCGCTGTTGCAGGTAGTCCACACATGTACAGGTACATGCTTGGTCAGCGAAAGAGAGCTCTATCGAAATCCAAGAGGGAATAAAAAAGCTCATTAGAAAGGGACCAAAAAGCTCATCAGCTGCTTTATCCTCTTTGTCTTGTTCTTTCATGTACTACTACTTGTCTTTGTTTTAGCTTTTAAGGGTTTGTTTAAGGCTTAAAGCCTTTTACTTCCTCGGCGATTACTTGAACTCATGGAGGATGCTATTTAAGTGTAATGTGGTTTCTAAATTAATACGAAATTTATTGTTCCTTCTTACTCTGGATAGTAGCTTTCTTTTTTTTTTTGAATGAATGTTAAATTTATTCAACCAAAAAAAACTGTTTTACAATATATGCAGCTTGTAGTAGACAGGTTATTGAAATAGATTAAAAAAACAGCTCTAATAATGATCTAAATTTGTGGTCTCGAAGCAAACCAAACTTGGAACCAAACAGCTCTAATAATAATGTTAAATTTATTCAACCAAACCAAACTCTGGATAGTAGCTTTCGACACAATGAATTTTTTTTAATTATTATTTGATTAACTGAAATCAGAAAATTTGCAAAATTATTAGTGTGAGATATCACGAGTAAAATATACATGATCCAAAATAAGTTAAATAACTGTCAAAAGATGTTTTTTTGTTTTAAATTGAACATAGAAAAGTCAACGTAGTTGGTAAAGTGAGATTTAAATGACATAACACAGTTTATGAATGGAACACGATAAGGGGAGTCGTGAAGTAACGCAGATCACAAAATATTTGTGTCTCAAAAGGCATCGGCGTTATTCAATTTTCTAGAATTTAAAAAATCTGAAATAAAAACGACGTCGTATGAAGTTCATCAAAAGGACCTTCTCCGCCTTTCATTTGTTTTGTTTGTATACCAGACCGAGGGAAAAAAAAATCCGAAAGTGAGAAGCCAAAAAATTAAATAGAATCTTTGGATTTCTAGAAAAATAAATTTCGGAAACTTTTGAATTCTTCTTCCGCTTCGATTTCAAAGCTGCTGCTTTAATTTTGTCTGGTGGTTTTGGTTTGAGCTGCTTTGATTGTTTGGACGAAATGGCCGATCAAAGGAGTAAAACGAATAGGTGGAACTGGGAGGTGAGTGGGTTCGAGCCGAGGAAGTCTTCTTCTTCAAATGCTTCTTCGTATGTGGAAGGCGGTCACCGTACGACAGGTCCGCTGCTCCGGAGGAACTCGATTTCTACTCCCTCGCTTCCGCCTAAGCAAGCTCTTGCCTCTAAGGTTAACGGATTAAAGGATAAAGTTAAGGTGAAATGTCACTTCCTTTTTTCACTCCACTGTATATTTGGATTGGGTTTTTAGTTGAATTGATTTTTTTTTTTTAAAAGGCTGCTTTTGCTTCTCTTAAGTGTAAGCTGAGTCTATAGATGTTATCATCGCATAGACTAGGTTGTGTGTTTGTGGGATTTGATGGAAGTTTAGTGTTGAAGCCATTGCTTATCCAGAAAAGTATGTGACGTTGGTTGAACAGCTTGCAAAAGAAGATTACCTGGAGTTGAGACAAGAAGCTACTGATCTGCAGGAGTATTCTAATGCAAAGCTTGACAGGGTTACACGTTATTTAGGTGTTCTGGCTGAGAAAAGTCGTAAATTGGGTAAGTGATGTGTTTCACCTGTGTATTATACCACGAGGTTTGTTTGAACACGATGTAAGTTGTGCAAGCATCAAGAAAGACTTAGTATTCATTACATTTGGTGCATTTGTGACTACTCCCAAAGTTGATAACACTAGAAATTTGTTGGCGTTTTCCCAATATTGGAACCTTTATGAAGTCATTTAGTTCAAATAGCGAATACTTTATAATCCCATCTACTGTATCTAGCCCTTGTGGTTGCGTTTCATTACTTTATCTGTTTTGTGGTGGAAATTTGGTAGTGTGTTGTATTTATCTATCTACATAAACCACCACAGATCAATATGCCCTTGAGACTGAGGCTAGGATATCTCCACTTATCAATGAGAAGAAAAGACTGTTCAATGACTTGTTAACAGCCAAAGGTACCAAGCTTCCTTAACCAATGTCATCAGTCTTTCTAAATTTGTAATCTTTCTTTAGGTATAGGTTCACAGATGTTCGTGATAGTTTTCTGCAACCTATTGATTAATGTGGAACTGTTGTTTCATATTTCAGGGAATATAAAAGTATTTTGCCGTGCAAGGCCATTGTTTGAGGATGAAGGTCCCTCTATCATAGAATTCCCTGGGGATTGCACCATATGTGTAAACACTGATGATGATACTCTGTCCAATCCCAAGAAGGACTTTGAATTTGACCGAGTTTATGGACCTCATGTTGGACAAGGTGAGTACCATAGTTCGTTGTAATTGTACTCTCTCCTTTTGTCATGAGCTCTGTACTTATACTGTAATTTTTTCCTCAGCTGCACTGTTTAGCGATGTCCAACCTTTTGTTCAATCTGCACTGGATGGATCTAACGTCTCTATATTTTCCTATGGACAAACTTATGCAGGGAAGACATACACCCTGGTTACTATTCTTTTCCTTTTCCTCTAAAAGTCTACAAATATGTCACATATTTTTGAGCACCTAAATCAATGGATTTCTGTCACTGTGTATTTTCACAGTGATTTGTTATCTCCCTATGGCTCTTCGTTGAATCAACTTTATTGACTGTTATTTGCCAGGAAGGTTCAAATCACGACCGTGGTTTATATGCACGTTGTTTTGAGGAACTTTTCGACCTAGCAAATTCGGATTCAACTTCTACATCTCAATTCAGTTTCTCTCTTTCAGTGTTTGAGATCTATAATGAACAGGTGGTCCAATTGTGTCTAAAGTACTAATACATTTTACCTATATCATAGTGCCAACTGCCAAGATGGTTCTTTCATGAAATCTGAAACTTCTAATTCAGTAATTTTAATATTCAGATAAGAGATCTACTTTTGGACAGTCAGAGCAACTTGCCGAAGATCAACATGGGATTAGACGATTCTGTTGTAGAGCTTATACAGGAAAAAGTTGATAATCCTCTGGAGTTCCTAAGAGTCTTAAAATCTGCATTTCAGAACCGGGGAAATGATAAATCAAAATTTAACGTGACCCATCTGTATGTTTTATTTTGTACTTGAAATGTTCCTCTTTTTATTATATTGAAATAATTTTCTGCTAAGGTTCTCTATTCACATGTCTTTAATGGCTGGCTTTTCTCTTGGCAGGATTGTCACTATACACATATACTATAGTAACACGATTACTGGAGAAAACATATATAGCAAGCTTTCTCTAGTTGACATGGCTGGAAGTGAAGGTTTAATCATGGAAGATGACAGTGGAGACCATGTCACTGATCTGTTGCATGTCATGAATTCGATTTCAACGTATGTCAGAGTTTTCTTTTTCTTTTTTATTCACTCCTCTTTACCAGTAAACTATATAACTTCTGCATCTTTATCGTCTAAAGGTCTGACAAAGTTTTCCATGTGTGGGCTCCAATGCGTTAATTTATTCTGTTAACTTACTGCATATATCTCTGGTTCTGTAGGTTGGGAGATGTTTTATCCTCATTGACGTCCGAAAAGGATTCAGTTCCTTATGAGAATTCAATGCTTACAAGAATACTTGCAGATTCACTAGGTAACATTTTCTTCTTTTCAATACATGCACCTCTCCTCTTATTTCACCCTGATTTTTTTGTTTGTTTAAGGGTTTTGCCACCATTGTTTGATGCTCGTTGTAACTGAGATGCAATATCCTGTAATGTGTAGGGGGAAGCTCCAAAACGTTGATGATTGTTAACATCTGTCCAAGTGCACAAAACTTGTCTGAAACAATATCATCTCTCAGTTATGCTGCTAGAGCTAGGAATATAATACCAAGTCTTGGGAATAGAGATACAATCAAGAAATGGAGAGATGTGGTAAGGGAAAGTGAATAAGATAAACAATTAAAAAACGAGAATACAGACGTTAGACGGTCAGGTTTTCGCTTGATTGATCTGTTCGTTTTATCTCTCCCTTTTCTAGGTCATCCCAATTTCTAGAGAACAGAACGTAATATAAAAGTACACTGTACTAGCTTGTCCTGTTTCAAAAGATTCTTTTTGCTACAACATAGATAACCTTTTGTCCTGCAGGCGAGTGATGCTCGGAAGGAGCTGTTGGAGAAAGAGAGAGAAAATCAGAATCTGAAACAAGAGGTCGTGGGCTTAAAACAAGCACTTAAAGATGCAAATGACCAGTGTGTATTGCTCTACAGTGAAGTGCAGAGGGCGTGGAAAGTTTCATTTACATTGCAATCAGATTTGAAGGTTATACAGCTTCACTTGGGTTCTTGTTTGAATTTTATACAATTCTTTATAACCTCTTTGTTTTTTTGCTCATTATCCGTCTTGTACCTGATGCAGTCAGAGAATACTATGCTTGTAGACAAACATAAACTAGAGAAGGAGCAGAATTCTCAGTTAAGAAATCAAATAGCTCAACTTTTACAGTTGGATCAGGAACAGAAGCTGCAAATGCAACAACAAGATTCCACCATTCAAAATCTCCAGGTTGGTGCTCCACGAGTATTAGCTATTCTCTAAAGTTTAAGATCTATGGAAGCCAATTGATTTTGAACTTGTTGACTTCTCTGCACATGGTAGTCATATCATTAACCTGTATCTTATTTGATTTTGATTCAGGCTAAAATTATAGACTTGGAATCACAAGTAGGTGAAGCCGTTAAATCCAACACAACAAGAACAGGAGATGTCTTACAATCTCAGGACATATTTTCCTCAATACCAAAACCAGCTGACACCACAGCTGATTCTTCTGTTACCAAGAAACTTGAGGAAGAACTTAAAAAACGTGATGCACTAATTGAGGTTCTGCTCTGTCTTACTCTTGAATATATTCTGGTGGACCATTGATGTTTGCTCGAGTTCATTTATCTGATGAGAACAATGTTTTTTGCAGAGATTGCATGAAGAAAACGAAAAGTTGTTTGACAGATTAACAGAAAGATCGATGGCTGTTTCAACCCAGGTAATTGTTTTCTCTTGTGCAGTTATGCTGAATTAAGCATGATTCAGTATCATATCTCCCTCACTACTCTCTTATCGCTTTGAGAGAAAAATAATTTACATTTGTTCTTTATTAATTGCTACTGTATGTTTAACACTTTGCACCTACAGATTTACTTGCTCCCTGCACTCCATTTCTAAAACTTTCGTATTTCATTTTTTATTTTAGGGATTGAGTCCCTCATCAAAAGCCTCGCCAAACAATCAGCCTGCCAATGTTCACAGGTGATTTCGTGATCCGTTTGAACAATTGAGTTCTGATTCTGTATTTTTCATTTTATTGACTAAATTTACTATTTTCTCTCCGAAAAAATAGTAGGGGAGAAGCGTTTTCGGAGGAAGCTGTTGCTTTACCATCTAGATCAAATAAGAATGACGGAGCAATTACTGTAGTAAAATCTGGCTCTGAAATAGTAAAGACCACGCCAGCTGGAGAATACTTGACGGCTGCATTGAACGATTTTGACCCTGAAGAATATGAAGGTCTTGCTGCCATTGCTGATGGTGCAAACAAGCTACTAATGCTGGTACTTGGTTAATAGCTAATTGCTTTAACATCTTTTTAGACGTCTCACTGGTATATATATCTGAAATGACATCACTATACCTTGCATCATTATTGGAGAGTGAAGGTTATGATGGACTCTGGATGTCTTTAAACCTTTATCGCTGTTAAGAGCAAGTTGATATCAACTTATTTTGGGAAGCTTTTTTCTTATTGTTGACTTGCAGGTCTTGGCAGCTGTTATCAAGGCTGGTGCTTCCAGAGAGCATGAAATCCTTGCTGAGATCAGAGATTCTGTCTTTTCATTTATTGGTAAAATGGAACCAAGAAGAGTAATGGATACCATGCTTGTTTCCCGAGTTAGGATATTATACATAAGGTCCTTACTGGCGCGATCACCTGAGCTTCAATCTATCAGGGTGGGTTTATAGGCAGACGACTCCTAGCTGCTTTTTATGTTCGTTTTGGCCGTGGTTTTTATGACCATCTTATTTCTCCTGGAAAAATTAAACCTATCCTCTTCATTTAGGTCTCTCCTGTCGAGTGCTTTCTTGAGAAGCCTAATACTGGTAGAAGTAAAAGCACTAGCAGGGGTAGCAGCCCAGGTAGATCTCCAGTTCGATATCTTGATACGCAGATTCATGGCTTTAAAGTAAATATAAAACCAGAAAGGAAAAACAAGTTGGCATCTGTGGTATCAAGAATGCGTGGACTTGAACAGGTAAGTTTACCTTGAAAGTGCAGTTGATTCTCAAAGATGCTTGAGCTTACCTAATATGTTAAATATTTTGAGACACTTATGCTCTTGATTGTAATCATCTAGGATACTGGGAGGCAGCAAGTTACTGGAGTTAAGCTGCGGGAAATGCAAGATGAAGCCAAAAGCTTCGCTATTGGGAACAAAGCCTTGGCTGCATTATTTGTTCATACTCCGGCTGGTGAACTGCAGCGACAGATTCGGTTATGGCTTGCAGAACATTTTGAGTTTCTTTCCGTGACCGCAGATGATGTCTCGGGAGGAACTGGTGGTCAACTAGAGCTTCTTTCCACGGCAATTATGGATGGCTGGATGGCTGGACTTGGGGCTGCGATGCCACCTCACACAGATGCTCTCGGGCAGCTTCTGTCCGAGTATGCAAAACGTGTCTATACTTCTCAAATGCAGCACATGAAGGTATGCGATGTCATTGGTCAAAAATGATATTCTAAGTGGAATTAGCAGATAGAACATTCTCAATGGTTTGAAATGATGATTAATATGGAACCGTACTATTATACTATAGGATATTGCTGGCACTTTGGCGGCAGAAGAGGCAGAAGATGCTGGTCAAGTGGCTAAGCTTCGATCAGCTCTTGAGTCTGTTGATCACAAAAGAAGAAAGGTACACCAACGTGCCTGAAAATAAATGACGCAGTTCTGGATTGCTTTAATTTTTGATCTTTGAAAAGTTCTTGTGCTCTGACTTTTGTTTGCTTTCTTTATCAGATTTTACAACAAATGAGGAGCGATGCAGCTTTGCTTAACCTGGAAGAGGGCAGTTCTCCTGTTCCAAACCCTTCGACGGCAGCTGAAGACTCAAGATTAGCATCTCTCATTTCTCTAGATGGCATTTTGAAGCAAGTCAAGGTATTTTTATACCTCCATCTGAGACCATGTTGCTTCACAATTGATCTTTGTTTTTGGTTAAATTTTGGTCAGTAACTTATTTTGTATCTTGCAGGAAATAACAAGACAAGCCTCTGTCCATGTTTTGAGTAAAAGCAAGAAGAAAGCATTACTCGAGTCCCTTGATGAACTCACTGAGCGAATGCCTTCTCTTCTTGATATCGATCATCCATGTGCGCAAAGAGAAATTGCTACAGCACACCAGTTGGTCGAGGTACTTATGATTTCCATGTATAATCAGTTTCTCCATGAACCTACCATAGACACAAAAAACTCTACCTGATATAATGATGAGATCCGGATTAAATATCGAACAAACTAACTTATTTCTCTTGAACGCAGACGATTCCTGAACAAGAGGACAATAATCTTCTGGAACGATCGCACGACCGTAGACCATCATTAGAATCAATATCCTCAGGTGAAACTGATGTATCTCAGTGGAATGTTTTGCAATTCAACACAGGTTCATCAGCCCCATTCATCATAAAATGTGGAGGTAACACCAACTCAGAGCTCGTGATCAAGGCTGATGCACGCGTTCAAGAGCCCAAAGGAGGTGAAGTTGTCAGAGTTATCCCAAGGCCTTCTGTCCTAGTAAACATGAGCTTAGAGGAAATGAAACAAATGTTTGCGCAATTACCTGAAGCTCTAAGTTTGCTGGCTTTAGCTAGAACAGCTGATGGCACAAGAGCTCGCTACTCTAGACTCTACAAAACTCTGGCCATCAAGGTTCCCTCTCTTAGAGACCTTGTTAGTGAACTGGAGTAAGATACTTAAGTCGTGAACTGGCTTAGAGAGATGTTGCAGAGATATTATCCAGCAATGGAGATTCCTTGTGTATTTATTCTTTCTTGTGAGGTTTTTGGCTGGGCAAATTCGGCGCATTTATACTAACCTTTAAGCTCCAGATTCATTTGTGTAATATGTAACTTCGTTTTGTATCTTACTCTCATTCACACAGCAATAAGTGTTATATTCACAGGAAGGGAGTTTTTTAAATTACTCTCAAAAGTTTACTGAAGGCAAAAATGTGATCAAAAATCAATAATATGAGCTGTATATGAAAACTACCATTTAAAGGCTGATAGTACATAAGATGGGAATGCATTGTGTTTAGCCGTAAGGGTCTTGACTGAGTCTAGATTTGCAATTTCATCAAACGAAGTGAGACCAAGCTCATTACCATGAATCCCTCCAGTGATGAAAATTGATTCAATTCCTGAAATATTTGCTCCTTTTATATCATGATGTAGTGAATCTCCTACTGCTATAGCCTCAGATGGATTGACAACTCCTGCGATTGCCATAGCTGACTCATAGATCATCTGCAAAATAAAAAAAAATCAACAAACCATTATACAACACAAAGTAGCAAGTTGATAGTTAAGTATTCTAAGTTTCTAACCTTATAAGGTTTGCCCATCCACTTCACTTCTCCCCCAAGTTCTTCATACTTGGAAGCTAGTGTACCTGTATAAATCATGAACGATTTGATTCATGTATATGCTTATTTATATCCCATCATAATTCGAAGACAAACTGGAGAGTTTCAGAGATGCAAGTAAATGTACCTGGCATGATATGAAAAACATTTGCTTCAACAGTCACATAATCTGGATTAGCAACGATCATGGGGAGTCCTCGAGCTGCAGATTTCTCCAAAATCTTCTCAAGTTCGTCGAGAGGCATTGGAGATACACCGCCTGAAGGAAGTCCTAAGGCCTCCGTGCCGTGCGCTAAAACAAAGTCAGCTTCGTCCACATTCTCCACAACATTTAAACCTAGACCCTGAAACAAAGGCTACATCAAATACCTACTACTAACCTTCATCGATAAATCAATCAGCAACCATAAAAAAGATAACTAACCTCTAAAGAAATTGCTCCTCGGTCATTCCAAGTCATGTGAATGCAACTCCTGCCTAGTGCAGCAAACCAAGGATCATCTCTCCTGTAACATCCAGCTATCAGTAAGTTCAACCAAGTAAATAGCATCTATGTTGTGAAGACAAAGTTGTTGGTAAATGACCTTTGCAAAGACAGATGGGTTAGTTCACCACTTGTTATAGCCCCGGTGAAGAAAGACGGATCAAAGCCAAGGCCTTTCAACTTATCGATTGTAGTAGAAGCACGTCTAGAAGAATTACTAATAACCACGATTCTGGCACCCGCTGTTGCAAGGTTTTTTACTGTAAATCCAATAAAACAAAAGTTAGATCAGTCCTTATGCATAACTACAACGATGTTGAAGAAACCTTTAAGGAAAACTATCAATAAATGGAAGATCTCAAAGCATAATGATATTTCACTTCCGGTTTCACAACTTATATGGACAAGATATTCATTGCCAAATCATCGTCTCTGACTATATCAAATATAGTCAACACTGAATCATTGAACAGTGAAAGAATTGGTTACGATACCAACTACAAAATGTAAAACCCCAATTGAATCAGCAATCCGAATAGATATGCCAAAGGTTAGAAATGATAACGTACTTGTCGATATTGCACCCGGGTACGGCTTTTTGCCATCATGAAGGACTCCATACTGATCTAAGAGCCATGCCTGTGACACAATTCACCAAGTTTAGCATTAAACAAAATCTTGAGAAACATTCACTAGATGTTTGATGATTCATATATGTTAAGCTACACACATTTCTTCTTTACCAAATGTTACTCTCGAAAAGTGTAATATGGTTACTCAAATGGAACCTACACTTGGCAATGTATTTGTAAAAAGGTACAAACTGTAATCAGAATCTCAGGTACCAATCCAATTTAAAGAAAGTTGTATGCTTTTTTCCAAATTACGCAATTAGAGAAACCCATTAAGTAACAAGATTAAACGAATCAAAAACATGATAATTTCAGATAATCGGATCTATCAGACTAACATACAGATGTTGTTAATGGGCTTGCTCGTCATAATAGCAGATAATGAGAGAGCACATAAAAAGACAGTAAACTGAGTCAGATGAGGTAAAACCTTAAAATTTCGTGTCTCAACGATGTCTTTGAGGCCATTCATTGGCTGTGAGAGCTGCGCCGAACAGATCATTTTTCTTCTACCGACGAGAAGAAGAAGAAGAAGAAGCAGACCAATTGAAAACAAAGCGCAAGCGTTTCTCTCTTTACCACAACCACAACGCATACCCACGCGCAACAGACAGTATGCGAGTAGCTTTGCAGCTGTACCAACTAAGTTAAATTTAATTTATTCTTCATTGTACATGAACGTCGCTTTGGCCGAGTGGTTAAGGCGTGTGCCTGCTAAGTACATGGGGTTTCCCCGCGAGAGTTCGAATCTCTCAGGCGACGGTTTCTTTTCTATTTTTAATTTATTTTGTTTTGAAACTTCCCGCCCTTTCTAAAACTCAACTGTCTTACTTATAGGCTAATAACCGCTTAGCTTTACCAAAGCGCCCTTCCCTCTTTGAGTTTTCTGATTTTTGGTGCCAACAGTGATGTAATTTGTTTATCAGATCTTTTTAAGAAACCTGTACGATCCTTGAGTGTGTATATGTATTCATTCTATGAAAGCATATAACCAAAATATCTATGAACATATGTATAATGAGTCCTCCCAAATCTAACTACACCATGCTTAACTAGTTAACTGTTATAGCTCAATAGTCACATTATGGTTTCCCAAAAGCAAATAGAATTTTTTCACTGTTTCTCTCTCTCAGTATTAGCACTGTAGCAGAAGCCTTCCCTATAGTTAGCTGAATCTTTACAAAAGCATAGACCGAATCTCCATCATCGATCTCGGTGCTTCCAAATCCTCTTCCTCTAACGAATCTCCAAGTAAGTTTTGCATTTGAGTCACAAATATCTCATTTAAAACCTGCAAAATCACCATATAATTATAACAACGTAAGAAGAAACATTTTTGTTTTTTTCTAGTGATAAAATTGAAAAAGTCCAGAAGAAAGTTGAAAAAGTTACAGAAACTGCGATTCTCGGGCCTTTGTGCCAAGTCACATTGTCATTCCTGTCTTCCAAAACCCGAAGCACGTCCTTTGAAAAAAAAAAAACGAATAAAAAAAAACAGAATAAGAATAATGAAAACTAATGATGATGCAAGAAAGAAGAAACCAACGGTTTGTGATGCGGTTTGCCTTCCTTACCTGTCCCAATCTGTCCCATATTCCTCTGCATATTACGATAAACACATCGAGTGACAAAACACAATGCAGGTGATCAAGTGTCGTGTCTAGTAAATCTTTTAAACTCTGCATTCTGTTTCTAATGTCTGATTCTGCTGTTATTTCCTGCAACTCGCGGATGATGTTCTTCATTTTCATTTGGCTATGTATCCTCGTCTGTTACATAAGATAGTTTTTTCTCAAGGATCTGAGAACAGGAAATCTCAAAAATAAGTTCAGAAAGAAGTAACTGACATTCTCTGCAATTTTCTCCACGAGCGCTTGCATGTAACTTCTGAACTTGGCTCTTAACTGTACAGTCACCTCGCTCAGCCGCTCTCCTAAAATTCTCTTTTCTTTATCAGGGAGATAAGAGTTCCACAATTTGAACCGGTTCTCTATTCTTGACCGTAATGTTTCAAGCATTCTTTTCATGGAATTTAGAAGAACTCCAAGCTGAAAGATGTTGTAAAGGTTTCTTATACTAGTTCTAAATGAAACTTGAAAAGTTAAAACAAACATCAGTAGATATACCTCTTTTGGAACAGTGTAGAGGTTAGAATGTCCCTTTTTGGTCAATTTCTGGACGTACTTCATTGCAGATACCTTGCTTTCCTTTAACGGAGACAAAACTTCGGAAAATTGCTTCTCCAACGCTTCAATAATATCCCTCTCCACATCCGCTACAAACTTTCCATATGAAAACATGATAACATTTATAAGTTGGGGCATATTTGGTTAACAGAGTTACTGACTTCTGAGACATGTAAGAAGGACAACTCATCAAACACAACGCAGTTACATTAGTTGAATGAATCAAAAAAAAATATCCGTTTCGTATTATTTTTTACTTACTTTCTCCAAGGATGCCCCATATTCTGGCCAACGCATGATGATGATATCATACTCATCAAGTGTGGCGTTGAGTAACTCATAAATCTCATCTACAAAGGGAGAGGTCGAGCCTTGAATCTCATTACATGCTTTTGCCTTAAAAAAAAAAAAAAACAAAATGTATGCAATTGCAGATGTCAAAGCATTAACAAGCATTCTTGTGTCAGCACTATAGAAAAGTTGTTGCAAGATAAGTACCGTGTCTGACTTGCAGAACTCATATAGATAACTTTTTCTATCTTCAATCCAGGTAGTAATATATGAATGGAAAAGCTCTTTGGCAGTAACACCACCTTTGATAGGACTGCCAACATGGCGATGAAATTGCTTTAGAAATAGAAAAGTCTAAAAAGATAAATTTTAAAGTCGTAAGTACTCAGTCAGAAGTAAGAGCATATATTACTCTATATTCCAGCGAGAGCGATCGGCTTCAAAGTCGGCTGTTGTAATGATAAGATCGACAACTGGAGGTGATGGAGAAGGAGGGGGCCATGCAGTAAGATATTCCCTCAGTCTGTTGAATAGATCCACACTATATATTGCCGCTGAAAGCTGTGGAAGGTCTATAAAGCTGCTTCAGAGATTACAGAGAGATTCAGTAGAGAAATACACTAATTTAGTAACAGAAATGTTGTATATATGACTTAGACAAACCTTGGGAGTACATTGTAGTTATGGATGGCTATGTCAGTTAAGATTTCGTTCTTAAGGCTCAAAACTAAAGACTTCATCCTCTGATAAGTAGTGCCTTGTGCATCCTCAATATGATTGTGAAGTATATCGTTTGTTTCCCGTAAGTACCTTTTTGACCTCTTCTTTGAAGCAGCCTGAAAGAAGGCAATGAAATAAATCATGGGACAAGTGAGAAAGAGAGAGAGGTTGTGTGTGTGTGTCTGTCTGATTTACCTGAAAGTATCTGCAAAGTCTTAGTTGTGCCTCGGGGTTTAACACGTCGTTGAGAAGACCATAAAGCTTGATAGCTGGCGCTATAGCAGGTGCTGGAATGCCTGTAGGAGGCTCAAAAACATCCTTGATTCCAGAAAAAGAAGTTTCATCAAGAGATTTATAATTCTCGAATGTCAACGCAAGAATCTGCTGAACTTGTTCATCAATTTCCCCAAGCAAACGATCCTGTCCAAATGCATCAAAAAGAAAGTGAGCTACTTGAATAGCAAAACGTGATCCTTAATGATTAAGAACAGCAAAAGTTAAATATAAACACCTCCTGATGACTCAGTATAGCCTTGTGTTTGCCTTTCATTAAAACAGGCGACAGAAAATCGTATATGACATCAAGACAGTCCTTAGTAGGCGAGGCGACATCCATGACATATGAAAGATACCTGACAATCAGAAAAACATCGTGTACAACATCACTTAAGTGCCTGAATAAAATTTGGTTACCAAATTAAAAATCTTTCTTGTCTGTAAATTACCTTAATTTTGTATATGCATCTGAAATACCGTAATAGGCTGCAAATTGAGTTAGCATCCAGTGCCATGGCCCTTTGATTAACAGATTTTGGCGCTGAAATTGCTCAGCTTTCATAGCCACTTCCAAGACCAAGTCATATGCTGAAGTTTCTGCAACCAGCCCACACTACATATGAATGGAAATATGTCAGCAGACAATATGAGACGGTTAAAAGAAGTTTCTCTGTGGAAAAAGATCGTGTGTACCTTAGTTTTTTCATCTAAGCAGCTTGAGTAGTTGATATGAAGTTGGATTCTCCCAGTACGGTCATGTTCTGGTTCATGATATATTGCCCACCATTTAAGATTGTTCTGCTGTAACAGCCAAAACTTTAGATTTGATAATCTTGTGGACACAGCATAAGGCTTAATAAATATCTCACCGGTTCATCAACTATAGCTGCTAGTTGAGCTAAGACACGACCACAAAACTTTCCCTTTGAATCCCGAACTTCAACAATCAAATCATCACCGATACTATCTGGTAAGCTACAAGGGAAACCGTATTATAACTCCAGCTTTACATGAAAAGGAATCTAAAAGCAAATCATGAATGTAAAAGGAAACGTACAAGACAAATGTTTCGCCAGATCCAGGTTGTGTGTTAACTTGATCCTCCTCGGCAGAGCTCTTTAGCCTTAATGAACAAGTAAAAGTTTCTGACAATAAAAGAATTCATAGATAAATCATTCAGAAAGAAAGACAAAACAGTAAAGGCAGCAGTAAAAATGCAACCAAATATACCTTGTAATGCTTTGAGCGAACGTGGTCCGGTGTGAGATGCAACAAATTCTTTCTGAAGGACTTTTGAGACCTGTTTGAGGTAACGAGCACAGGTACGCATATACGCCAAACTTTTCTTCGAAAGTGAACCATTCAAAGGAACTCGGGGGGCGACATGAACACTCTTCACTGCTTTCCATCCAGAAGACAACGTAGAATTCAGTTCTGCTATTTGCTGGTGGACAGATTCAGGCTTCAGTGGTAACATACTGCAACCAGGTTGTCCATCTGATCCCATTTTGATCCTACCAACTGTAGAGCTACACACTTCAGATCATATGAATAAATGAGATGGGACTGAAACAAATAAAGAGAGATAGATAAATATACCCTGAAGTTTAATTTTTCCAACACTTCTCTTAAATTTCGGAGCAGATGCCTCAGTAACCAAGCTAGAAGGTCTATTTCCTAGTAGTTCTTCTTCAGATTGAATGAAGAAATTCTGCAAACTAAATGTTTTTTTTTCTCAACATCAAACAACATAGCAATCCACAAATATCTGAACAATTCCAAACACTAAAACATGTCTCACCCAAATGCAGTTCGCATTAATATGCAATCATCGTTGAGGAAGTATGAAGCCTCGCTGGCACTATCCGTATCCCATGAATGAAGGCATAGGCGTACACATGCTTCATAGGAAATCATTGCAGACCATGGACCTTGTTCACTACATTCAGTGAAAATTTAATTAAGTGAGAAATTGTTGAATTATAGTGGATAAGAGAAAAACATGATATGTATGTAAAACTCAGTCATCACCTTGCATGAAAGGTGGGGAAACGGGAACGAAAGGTCTCGTCTTTTATTGTTCCTAAAGTTCCAATATCAGCAATT